TGTTATGAAAGAGGCAGGTCTGGAATCTTGGTTCTCTGCTATCCAGGTTCAAGATTTCTCGTTACTTATTTATGACATTCACTTTGAGAAAGAATTTTAGGCAACTTACAAGGTCAATATGTAAAAGAAATGTTAAATAACAAAAAGCTGCATAATTTACAGAAAGAGGTAACTATATGAGGGATTTATGCTGAGGATAATTTATTGCAATTGTACCCTAAATGTACCACAGGTTCCTAGCAGTCAGGAAAAAATGAGAAAACAGTAGGAGTTATTCTCATTGTCTAGTAGGAGGGAACCATGGAACATACCAGTTTCCCAGAAAGGCAGACTTTTCTTTCAGCCTTAATCTTTGAGGAATTTGATGTCAAGGTCATTGTTGTGTGGTGTCCCTTCTATAATAATGTTTTCAAAGGCATAGAAAATTTTACAAGGCTTTAAAAATAGGTTGCCCATAGATAAAAGCTGAGAACCTAATACTGATCTTTTTAGGAATAGTTCCATTGTACAGGCTGGTTATACCATGATAGAGCTTGATACAGGGAGAATGCTTTGAAAATGCAAAAGAAATGTCATATCCCTTCTCTCTAGTTTTCATGCAGGCTTGTAAAATTAACTGGCACCTAATAATTCAAGGTTGAACTCTAGTGAGGTCTACAGCAGAGCTATTCTGTGTGATGATGAGGACCAGCCATGAGCTAGGAGTAGCTAGACAGCTGTCCATAAACCAGATCTGTAGCAACAAAACATTTCTTTCAGTCACTTGCTCATCCCTTTGTTTTCTCAGTAATTCTTTAAAGATACGACATTTTTACTCTAAGATTGACATGGTAGACCAAGCCCTTGCCCTCATAGAGCTTAAATTCTACTGGGGGACTCAGAGACAAAGCGACCTAAGTCAGGCTATATGCTCTGAAGATGAATGAGGTGAGGTAAGGAGAGAGTGACGGGGTAAGGGAGCTTTGTTCTATGGGATGATGGGGAGACCTCTGAGCAGATACCGATGGAAATGCAGGTGTGTGTTGTGTGCAGAGGAAACATCAGGTGCAAAAGGCCTGAGGTAGGGCATGGAAGTGGAAAAGCCTGGATGTCATCAGAAGGGAGAACATCCTCCTGTGTAGGAGTCAGCCCGGAGCCCTATCTGGCCTTCACATCCAGTTCGTCCCGGAATCTCACTGGCTTTGCTACCAGCATCTGTACTGTATCTGTGCACTCATCTGCTCTTACGGCTCCCCAGGCTTTTCTGCGTTCTTGCCTGGCCTACGGCGAGAGCCTCCTGAATGGCTTCCCGCTTTGCCAACACCAGACCATTTTCCACATTTAAAACTGAAAATCAGCCCATGAATGACCCTTCCTTGAAACCTGACCTGTTGACCTTGGAATAAATTCCAAACCTTTCCTCCCCGCGTGCACACGACCATGATGACCGGGCTCCTGCTAGTGCGCGTGTGGCGCCGTGGATCACCCTCCTGTGACACTTGAGCCACTCAGCTGCTGCCTGCTTCTGGCCCAGAAGGGGCTGATGCTGTCTCAGCCTCTAAATTTCTCTGTGCCTGGCTTGCTCTTTGCCTAACTTGTCAGCCGAAAGGCTTGTTGAATCCTTTACAGGTCCCACATCACATGTCACCTTCCTGGGCTGCTCTGTGGAAAGCAGGCCAGCCCCGTCCCAGTCACTCCTAGCCTCAGTGTATTTCGTCCACGATAGTAGATTAATAGTAACCGTGTTGACTGCTTGTCTTCCCAGGTAGAGTGTAAGCTCTAGGAGGACAAGGGTTCCTTGCCTGGTCCCTTGCCTCCTCCTCTGTGTATAGCAGTGTAATTAGGCTGGAGGGATGAGTAAGTGCCAGAGGACATGTTCATGAATAAACGGATGAGGCTGAATCCCTGATACATGCCTGGGTTTGCGTTCTGCACTTGACCCATATTATGTAACCACGTTCTCCCCAGTGCTCTGTGAGGGAGAGATCAGCCTTACTTTACAAAAGAGGAAACTGAGTCCCAGAGAAGTTAACTTGTTTACAAAGGGTCAAACTAGTAGGCTAAAACCGTTTCTTTTCTATCTCTATATCGCACTGCTTATTGCACAGAAAATACTCTCAAGGAGGCAGGTTTGAATCCAACACTCAGTTGGGATGCTGCATTTCCCAAGGTCGATGAGGATAGGAGAGAGAATTTGGGGTCAGGAAAAGCTTGAGGGCAAGGCTTATCAGCTGGCTTTGTTACAGCTCTTAAAGGTCTCTCTTAGTGGTACCCTTGTGAAGGGCTCCTTCAGGATTATTTGAAAATATTTAAGTAACTTACTATGTCTAATCATTAAATACTTAGTAAAATTTTTGATGTTACTGGACTGCTGAAAAGTGCCTACAGTTGTTCTCTGACCTGAATATTAATCTGGAGTCTGAGAGTGTGAACCAGTGGGCTGAGCTACAACCGAAGGCGGACCACGAGGCGCGGTCCATGTTCCCTAGGCAGCTAGAGCAGGAGGGCGGGCCTGGAGCTCCTCGGAAAGCGGTATTGAGATACAATTTTAAAAGAACCCCGAATCATTTAAAATTGGAATTTGACCTTTCAAAAGCCTGTTCTTACCCCTCTCTTATTCCCAAACTTAAAATAGGATATTATAACATGGATTTTTAAGGAATTAACTGTCTGGAATCCATGTTGAATAAATAATACATCTTGGCCTAGACTTACTTCCTATCTCCATAGTCAAAAACTTATGGATTAATGCTGTGAAAACTTAGGGGACAAGGCTAAGACCCTTTTCAGGTGAAACAGTACCACAATAGTCCGTCCTGGGGCAGAGCCAGACTATTTCTATTTCTCATGTGAGCTTAAAGGAGTTAAGAAACCCAGCCATGAAACAAGAGGAGGGGACAGCTGTCTCTTATCTCGTTAAAACATGGGCAACTTTGTGTGGATTTTATCTTAGAAGAACAATACATGGATTGTGGATTAGTATAAAAAAAATTTGGCAACGTTTGGGGGGATTACCACCATAACTTGCTAAGAACCCTTTTCCTCCGTGTTTCTCTAATGATCTCTAAGGCCAGACCCATGGAGAAAGACTGCATTTGTGTGGTTGGAACTGTTTTATTTGGCCAAGAAGATACTCTGCACATTCTGCTTTTTAGATACCATGTTTAAAAAAAAAGTTTGCATCTGCGTGTATGTAACAACACATAATAAATACACTCAAACCCTAATTATTAAACAGTATACAGTAAAGTCTTTTAGAATCTGGCAACTGTGAATAAATAAAAACTGCAGGGAAAAATAAAAATCTGACCTCATGAGGCATGGGCTCATTTCATATAGCTTAAGTTTATGTGTACATAATTGTATCCAGACACCTGGCACTGCCTTCTATGTAGAATTTTGACAAATGCTGGAAATTTGGCTTCAGTTTTAACTAGCCCGAACTTAGATTTGTGTAATATAATAAATTTTTTAAAAATCTGGTTTTTCCTTACCAGGTAAAAGAATTCTTCAGCTCTTTGAAAGAAAAGGGTTCTCAGCTACGTTGTGTCCAGCAAACAATTGAAACCATTGGGGAAAACATCCGTTGGATGGATAAGAATTTTGAGAAGATCAGAGTGTGGCTACAAAGCGAGAAGCTTGAACTGCTCTAACAGTTTGTTCCTCGCTGGTTCCTGTGATGTGTGATTGCTAAAATGTTGTCAAATGTGATTATTTTCAAATGAGAGATGACTGTTTTGGCTCCATTGAAGATACTGCCTTTTCCTTCTTCCTCATTGGACTATTCCTATGAAAAGACCGGCTACTCAATTGTCCATCGATGGGTTACTGCTGCTGTGTCTTTTATTGATAGGTGTTGCCCTGCAATGTTAACCCAAGGGGTGGGTGGGTTCCCTACTGTGGAGGAGTACCTTATTCCTTTTGTTTCCTTACACTTAAGCCTTGTGCTTTCCAAAGCCCTGCTCCCCATGTGTGTGTCATCCATAAGCTATTTAGTCACTGTCCCCTAAAGACTTGTGAATAGTGAGGGCTACTGAACAATGAACGCTTGGATCGGTGACCAAGCCAGTACGTTCCACCTTTCCCTTCCCTGCTGCAGGCCCAGAGGCTGACCTCTAGGCCCATGGCCTCAGGCTTGTTGGCTCTCTGACTTTTGGTCAGTCTCCCAGCAGGCAGGTGGGAGCTGGGGTAGGAGAGAGTACAAGGGGGTGTTTTATTACCCTGGTTCCCTGGCTGACCTCCACCCAAACTAGCTCCTGAGAGGTGGCCCTCTTTCCCTCACAGTCCTTTCAACATCTTCCTTCTTATAGCAGCTTCCTCCTCTCATCCCTCCAGGCCGAGGGAGGGGTGGAGTGAGTGCCTGGCTCCGACGGGCCCTGGCGGTACCTGTGGGCTCCTTCCATCCTACCCTCATCTTTGTTGAGGAAAAAAAAAATTTTTTGGAACCCTCCTCAAATAATCCTGAGTGTGTGGTCTACTTCCTCAGGGACCCTGACAGTGTCCCTCTGAAAAAGCAGAGCGCATTCAGGTCTAGAGGAAGCTTTCTTCTGAAGTTGAACCTGGGAGCTGTTGATCCTTGGGTAGGTGATGCTTCTTCCCCCTGCTTCATAGTCGGCCTAGCTCACGATTCCCCAATAACTTGGGCAGTCACGGCAGTCTCCCATAAATTATATACTGTATAACTGAAAATACGATTAGTGTAAGTGTGGACAATGTATTGTCTTTGAAGTCTTTTATGAGTTTTAATATACTGTAAAACTTGGATATGAAAAATGTCAATGTGTTCTAATACACTGTGGAACAGAGTGACTTCTGGACATAAATGTGTTTACAATTTGTATGTATTGCATGGTCTGATGGTTTGAGAAATCAAAACAAAACCTGAAATTGCTGGTAATTTCCAACCCCAGGTATTAACCTTCTAAAAGACATACAAAGCCAAGATTTTAACGTAAAATATTTTTAATTGTGTTCTGTATTTTGATTGAATGAAACATGGAAATAATGGTCTTCATTTCTGGTCACCTGTGGAACCTATTTTAATTTGCTTTAGTTGGCGAAGTCCCATTTTCTGAATAGATACAATATTGTTACAACAATGTGCACTTTTTTTTTTTTTTGTACTAAAGATTGTTTTCTTGGCCTCTAAGCAGACATTTGCAATGATTTCCTCCTCATGAGCTAGGTTTCAAGAGGACTCCAATTCTGTAGTGTGGTCTAGTCATCGCCAAGTCTTGAAGACCTTTCTCATTCACAAAAAGGCATATGCAGAGTGCCTTTTACATTTACTATTACAAGCATGCCTTAAATCTTTGGATTTAAAAGTACTTGTATATATGCATGGAAATCAGTAATACTGCAGCCGCTTCCCTGCACACTGTCAATGCCGATAGTTTCACTTAAAAAAAAAAAAAAACCCCAACTTAATACTATATAATTAGAAGAAAGAGAAATAGTTAAATCCTAGAGGAACAGTGTTTTTTTATGTTCTCGTTATGTTTAGTCACCCTAACACCGGCTTTTATTTCCCAGATTTAGAATAAAAGGATAATGCCCGCATCTCTCATGGGATAGATACACAGCATTTAAAGTGGGTGAAGTTTGAAATTCTATAGGTATGTGCATGTTTTTTAAAGAGAAGTTTTAAAGAATTAATTTTATGCCCCATTATAAGCAACTGTCCTCTTTTTTTTGTCCTCCCCCACCCTTAGACAGTATTGGTGATACTTAGTTTTAGTGAAGTCAGTCCAGTTCTTATAAAAACTTAGAATACCTGCTAGGGAAGGCTGTACTCTCTGAAACAAACTGCAAATCAGTTTGATGACATGGACCTGATTATCTTTTCCTGCATTCAGTACCAAGAAATAAGGATGAAATTAAGTATTTATCAGACTCCCCTCAAGGATATCAGTGCTATGTTCATAAACAATGCATTCCAAAAGATCTGAGAAAGCATTCAAAGTCGTAGGATCTCAGAATCTAGTTCTTGAATTGCTGTGGGGGTAAACAGGTTTTTAAATTCTGGATGGCTTTTTTATTTTTCTTTCAAGTCGAAGTTTTTGTATTTGGTAAACCCAGCTTCCCTGAAGCCAGACGGGATACAGTGCACGGACTAACAAACAGGGCAATGGCTCTAAGCGAGTGATCGGCTGTTTCGGTTACACGTATCAGAAATGGAAAGCATAGCTTAACACAGTAACCCAAGTGCGTTCAAGGCCTGTGCATATTCTAAGGATTAGATTTTACTATTCTTGGAACTTGTTATGTGGTGACACAGAATGCATTCTGCTCTTCTGACTTGATTCAAGTCTCAGTATCTTTTGTGCTGGCTCTAAGGTGCAGAAGTCCTAACCACTGGCAAAAAAGAGTCCTGGGTGCAGCGTGTCCTGGTCTGTCCAGGCCATCTATTAGTTTATTAGCAGCCCAAGAGGAGATAATGTGCCCAATGTACAATATTTTAGGTTTGACTTATAAACATTAACCCAAAGAAATCTCAAGTACAGTTCCAAAGCCCAAGAGGAAATGGATCATGAGAAATGAGGACATTCAACATGTTCAAAGCATTGTTTTCCAAATGCTAACCACAACAAAAGAATTAAGTGCTAACTGAAAATACGAATGAGATTTACAGGCACTGTGTGTAGAATGTGCAAAAGTTTGCAAAGGTTTTTTCTTTTTTCATGTGTTGCTTTAAGAAACTATCAAATATATCTCATAGAAATATAAAGTTCCTGTCTCTCCCAACTGAAGGCATTTTTTAAAAATTCAAAGTTTATCAACACTCAGTACAATAACACAGATGAACCACACAAATTCATTTTCTTTCTGGGGAAAGAATAACCAATGTTTAGGATGTCAAGATTCGACAAGTAACACTGTCTAGAAGCCACCCAGAAAAATTTGCTGTTGTTCAAAGTCACTCAAAAGTCCTTCAAAAGTCACCATCCACCTGCTGAAGATTTTATAGGCAGATACCTTGAAAAATACAAAGGAAAAAAAAAATTCAGTAAACCGTTTGATACATAATTTTCTTGATACAGGCAGAGTAAATTTAACATTTAGTAAAAGCACTGTCTGACAGCAACAAGGAATTTCCTATAAGTAAACATGAGCATGTTCTTAGAAAATTCTAGAATTTAGAAAATAGAAAACTTGTAATTTGGGTGAAAATCTTTGGAATAGTTCTAATAAGGACACCTCCCCCTTGTTAAAGGAAATAAAAGACCATGGTGACAAAGACTAACCCAATCTAACCTACATTTTAATTTTCTTTAGGCTTTGGTCAGCCAGTGGTCATAAGGTTTGATGGCTTAGAATAAGACCTATTCTTCGATAAGAGGAATTACATAGTAAGAATTATAAGGGCCCTCAACATATATCTCAGAGATTCCCTCATCCAAATGAGTTAGTCAGTCACTATCAAGTACAATTAAACAAAGCACTTGACTTGGACCACTTTTGTTGATCTTACTTTTGCAGTCTTTTCTTTTGCCTTTGTTCCAAAAAACCCTGTAATTTCCACTAGAACCATAGGGGTACTTCTGTCCAGCCTACCATGTTGGTCTTTCAGTAACATCAGCATCATGACATTTCTCTGTAAGATGTCACAGGCTATCTGGGCTTTGTCACAGTAACCTGCAGTCACAAGCATTTGGGTGTCAAAGACTTGGCTAGACTTAGGTGGTCATTTTCTTTAGGAGTCTGGCCTGATATTTTAAAGAGCTCTTAATTATAAGATTACTATTTTTAAACATTCCAGTAGCAGATGATTCCATTTATTGCTTTTCAGCAAATTAACCTCGACAGTGCAATGTACATTTCATGCCAATAGTATAAAGAGAGCATAGGTAAGAAGTGGACTGTTTCCCTCGCCTATAACACAGGTCTGTGGAAGGTACAGTAGTCTTCATTCACAACAAACACCCAACTTACCAAATAGTGTGAACTTTAACTTGTATTTTTTCCATCAGCTTTTAGCTTGGAAGTTTCCTCTTTTGCCTAAAAGGGAAAGCAGAACCATCACTGATCTCCTTTTTTCCTGGATTAAGTATCAAAAAGCAGATCTATCAGAAGATGCTTAAGAGGAGATGGGCTTTTCAGAATTAAAGGGTCAAAAGATGACAGGTCAGTGGAGGAAAATAAGATGGGCCTAAGGATTTCCTTTTCATTTAGTCCAAACTATGAATTGTTCTCCTTCAAGTTTGTAAACTAAAAATAACCTTAAGTGATTTAAAGTATTTTACTCTAATTTTTTTTTTTTTCAAGGCTAGGGTAATTGAAGAAAAAACACAGGTGTTCTTAGATTCTATTCATTCGTTCTATAGTGATGAATTCACTCTTAGGGGCATTGGTGGGCAGCTAATCCGCTGAGAATGTAATCTCTTAGAGATAAATGCATGAGCAACTAATTATCAAATCTGGTTTCCTATATCCTTTATGGGTTTCACTCCTTTTTTGAGGTATAAAATTGACATATAACATTAGTTTCAAGTGCACAACAATATTCGGTATTTGGTATATATTGCAAAATGATGAACACAGTAAGTCTAGTTAAAATTTTTTCCCCTTGTGATGAGAACATTTAAGATCTCTGTTAGCAACTTTCAAATATGCAAATACAGCATTATGAACTATAGTCACTAGGTTGTACTATTATTTCCCATGACTTTTTTCTTTTTTTTTTAATAACTGGAAGTTTGTATCTTCTGACCTTCACCCTTCTCACCCACCCCACACCCCTCTCTCCTCTGGCAACCACCAGCTGATGAGCTTACTTTTGTTTTTAGATTCCCCACGTAAGTGAGATCATGTGGTATTTATCTTTCTCTGAATGACTTACTTCACTTACCATGATGCTCTCAAGGTCCATTCATGTTATCACAAATGGCAAGATTTCCTTCTTTTTTATGGCTGAAGAGTATCCTATTGTATATATACACATCTACTTGATCCATACAGCCATTGATGGACACTTCGATTGTATCCATTTCTAGGCTCTTGTAATTAAGGCTGCCATGAATATAGGGGTGCATATATTTTCCTAAGTTTTCTTTTTCTTAGGATAAATACCCAAAGGAAGAACTGCTGGATCATAGGCTATTTCTATTTGTAATTTTTTGAAAAACCTCTGTCCTGCTTTCCTTAGTGACTGCACCAATTTACATTCCCACCAAGAGTGTGTGAGGTTCCCTTTTCTCCACATCCTCTCCAACACTTACTTCTTTTTGATGATAGGTACTCTAACAGCTGTGAGATGATACCTCATTGTGGTTTTGATTTGCATTTCCTTGATGATTAATGGTGATGAGCACATATTCATGGGCCTGTGGGCCATCTGTATGTCTTTGGAAAAATATTCTATTTGCCCATTTTTTTTTATCATGTTGCTTGCTTTTTGCTATTGAATTTTTTTTTATACATTTTGAATATTAAGCCCTTATCAGATGTAGGATTTGCAAATATTTTTTCCCATTGGGTCTGTCGTTTTTTCATTTTGTTGGTGGTTTTCTTTGCTGTGTAGCTTTTAGTTTGATCTAGTCCCTTTTGTTAATTTTTGCTTTTGTTGACTTTGCTTTTGGTATCAAATCCATGAAATCCCTCCTAAGACTTATGTTAAGGAGCTTACCACCTATGTTTTCTTCTAGAAGTGTTCTGGTTTCAGGTCTTGAATTCAAGTCTTTAATAACATTTTATTTTTATGTATGGTTTAAGATGGGGGTCCAGCTTTCCCAATACTACTGAAAAGACTTTCCTTTTCCCCACTGTATATTCTCGACTCTTTTTGTTGTAAAATGACCATATATGTGTGGCCTTATTTCTGGGCTCTCTACTCTGTTCAGTTGATCTATGTGTGTGTTTTCATGCCAATACCATTACTGTTTTGGTTAACTATAGTTTTGTAAGATAGTTTAAAATTGAGAGTGTGATGCCTCTGGCTTAGTTATTCTCAAGACTGTTTTGGCTATTCAGGGTCTTTTGTAGTTTTATACAAATTTTAAGATTTTTAAAATATTTGTGAAAAAATGCCATTGCAATATCGATGGGGACTGAACTGAATCTGTATATTGTTTTGGGTAGTATGGACATTTTAACAATATTACATCTTCCAATCCCTTAAGTACAGAATCTTTACATTTAGTTGTGCCTTCTTCAATTTCTTTCATCAATGTCTTCTAGTTCTCAGTGGATAGTTCTTTGAGCTCCCTGGTTAAATTTATTTCTAGGTATTTTATTTTTTGATATAACTGTAAATGGGAGTTTCCTTAATTTTATTGTTATTAACATATAGAACTGCAACATATTATTGTTATCGATTTTCGTATGCTGCAGCCTGACTAAATTCAACAGTCTGGTGGAATTCTTGGTATCTTTTATATATAATATTCTATCATCTGAAAATAGTGACAGTTTTACTTCTTGCTTTCCAATTTGGATGCCTTTTATTTCTTTTTCTTGCCTAAGTGCTTTGAACAGGACTTTTAATAGAATGTTGAATAAAAGTGGTGAGTGGGCATTTTTGTCTTCCTAATTTTAAAAGAAAGTTTTCAGCTTTTCACCATTAAGTATGATGCTAGCTTTGGGTCTGTCATATATGGCTTTTGTTATGTTGAGGTATGTCTCTATATATACCAACTTCGTTATCATAAGTGAAAGTTGAAATTTATCCAATGCTTTTTCTGCTTCTGTTGAAATGAGAGGATTTTTATCCTTCATTTTATTAATGTGGTATATATTACATTGAATGATTCAGGGGTGTTGAACCAGCCTTGCATCCCTGGAATAAATCCCACTTGATAATGGTATATGATCCATTTGATAATATTTTGAGGATATTTTTAAAATCTATGTTCATCAGGAATATTGGCTTGTGATTTTATGTCCTGCTGTGCGTTGGTTATCAGAGTAATGCTTGTCCTATAACATCATTTTGGAAGTGTTCTTTCCTTCTCTATTTTTTGGAAGAGTTTGAGAAGGATTGGTATTAATTATTCTTTGAATATTTGGTAGAATTCTCTAGTGAAGCTGTCTTGCCCTGAATGTTTGGGAGGCTTCTGATTACTGCTTTAATCTCCTTAGTCTGAACTGGTCAGTAATTACTATTTCATCCTGATTTCAGTCTCAGTAGGATGTAGGTTTCTCTCTTCTAAACAGTTCATTATGTTGGCATGTAACTGGTCATTATGCAGTCATTGCCATTTTAATTGTTTTTTGGCTGTTTTGTAGATCCTCTTTTCCTTTTCTCTATTCCTTTGTGATTTGATCACTTTCTGTATTAGTAAGCTTATATTCCTATTTTTTGTGCATTTACTATTGATTTTTGCTTTGTAGTTACTATGAAGTTTATGTATGACAACGTAAAAGTCTATTTACAGTTGATAACAAGTTTGCACTCTAAAGTTGTATATTTTTACTCCTCCCATCCTTTGTTTTTTGACATGCATTTTACATATTTTTATCTTGTGTATCCCTTAGTGGATTATTAGAGTCAGTTTTTACTACTTTTGTCTTTTAACCTTCATACTGGCTTTGTACATGATTGATTTACACCTTCACATTACTCTAAATTTTACTGTATATTTACCTTTGCACTGAGATTTGTTCTTCCATAAGTTTTCCTGATACTAATGAGCACCCTTTATTTTCAGCTTCAAGAAGTCCCTTTAACATGGCTTGTAAGGCTAGCTTAGTGCTGATGAACTCTTTTGGCTTTTCCTTATCTGGAAAACTTTTGCTCTCTATTCTGAATGACAACTTTGCTAGGTAGAAGATTCTTAGTTGAAAGTTTGTTGTTGTTGTTTTTGTTTTTTTAATTTCAGCACTTCGTGAATAGATCCTGCCACTAGCTCTGGCCTGCAAAGTTTCTGCCAACAGTCTGCTGATAGAGACCGTTGATTTTCTTTTGCTGTGTTGAAGATTCTCTCGATTTTAACTTGTGATTTTTCAGTTATAATGTTACTTGGTGTGGGTGTCTTTAAATTCATCTTCTTGGGGGATCCTATGGTCATCCTGGATCTGGATGTCTGTTTCCTTCTGCAGGTTAGGGAAGGGCTCGGCCATTATCTCTTCTCCTTTATCTCTTCTCCTTCTGGGACCCCGATAATGTTAATGTTCATCTACTTGATGTTGTCCTGTAAGTCCCTTAACCTATCTTTACTTTTTCTCCCCCCATTCTTTTTTCTTTTTATTGCTCTGAGTGGGTGAGTTCTGCTATGTCTTTATGTTCACTAATCCTTTCTTATGCTTCATAGACTGTTCAGTTTTTCAGTTCAGTTACTGTATTCTTCAGCACTGTGACTTCTGTTTGGTACTTTGTCAATATTCCCATCTCTTGTTGAAGTTCTCACTGTGTTCATTCATTCCTCTCCCAAATTGGGTGAGCAGCTTTTTTTTTTTTTTAAATATTTGTTTATTTGAGAGTGTGTGTGTGTGGCAGGGAGGAGGCAAAGGGAGAATCCCAAGCAGACTCCCTACTGAGCACGGAGCCCAATATGGAGCTTGATCTCATGACCTGAGCTGAAATCAAGAATTGGACGCTTAACTGACTGAGCCACCCAGATGCCCCTGGTGAGCATCTTTTTAACTATTATGTTGACCTCTTCATCAGGTAAATAGCTTAGGTCCATTCTATTTTGTTTTTTGTTTGAGTTCCCCCCGAGATTTGCTCTTGTTCTTTGATTTGGAGCCTATTCATCCACTGCTTCATGTTCCTTGACTCTGTGTTGGTTTCTATACCTTAAATCAAACAGACACTCTGGTAGTCCTGAAGGAGTGTCCTGATGCAGGAGATGAAACTTATTGTTCAACCCTGCCCGAGCTCTTGGTTGGCTCTCAAACCCTTGTGATAGGCTGCTTAGACAATTTTATTTTTAGTGGGCCTTAGTGTTTGAGAGGGTGCCATGTTCTGTCAGGGTCCCAAAGGGGAGGATCTCTTGTCAGCATCCAGATTGAAGCTGACTGGAAGCCAGTGCCTTACATGGCATCAGTTAAAGAATGCATATATATACAGTCCAGTGAGACCACAATCTAAAAGTCCTGCTGGCTTGCCAGAGCCCAGTGATCTGGGGGGTCCCTTAGATGGCAGTCACAAAAACTAGATTTCCAGATGATACATTAACTGCCTTCCAGGAGATACTGATGACTGAAGTGAGGCAGGGGGAGATAGAAAGATGGTGTCCACCAGCCTCTGTCTTGCAAAGTATTTAAACAGGCCCCTAGACAAGTGTTAAATAAGATGCCTGACCCTGAGGCCAATGTGTAAGATGAGCCATTACACTTTCACAGAAAGTCTGGGTGCTTTTCAATTGGCTGCCTCCATGCTGGACTCTGGAGCAGGTGAGTCTGTGCTCTCAAGCCCTTTAAGAAAATTTCTCAGGTCACTAAAGCCTTGTGGGGCTTGTGGATACAAGCCCCACTGGATTTCAGAGCTATATATTTGTGGGCTTCTCTCTCAAATGCAGGTCTTAAAAGCTGGGGTGTCTAATGAGGGGTTCAAATCCTTTGCTCCTCAGGAAGAAGCTGTGGGTTTTGAGTTCCCTTTTGATTACGGGTCATGTGACTAGGGTTGGGTTTCTGGTAAGATTGTGTTCCTGTCTCCTATCTGCTTCCATTTGGGCTGCTCTCATTTTCTAGATAAGTAGGAGTCACTCAGCTAGTTTTGGGCTTTTTTTCACAGGACATTGTTGGATATGCAAAAGGTAGGTCACCATTTTGCTTCCTAGAGTTTTGATGCAGCTGGCATATAAAGCTATACCTTCAGTTTCTCATTGTAGTCAGGGGATCATAGTAATAACCCTTTAAATTCTATGTTCTTGGAATAGGAAAGGATCTAGAAGTTGTCTCATCTAATTTGCATTCCTGCCCTGAGCACACTTTGAGTAATTTTAATAGGCATCTCCCAACAGTTTCACTTCATTAATGCCCAGCTCTAAGAAATCAGACCCTGTAACTTTTTTTTTTTTTTTTTAAGTAATCTCTACACCCAGCATGGGGCTTGAGCTCACAACCCGGAGATCGAGTTACAGCTCTACTGACTGAGGCAGCCAGGTGCCCTTGGACCCTGTAACTTCTACTCATGGGTCTTAGTACATCATTTTTCACAGTGCTCTAGAAAGTAGAACTAATAGTCTTCCCTTCCAGGTGGCATCTAATGAATATTCTGGATCAGAGAAACCCTAGATCTTAATTCTGTATACTACTTCCATGTCCTAAAATTTATACCAACCACATTTCTTGGCATTATCCCCCCTACTGCCGCCACCACCATTTAAATGTCTGAATTTGCTACGGTTTTTACAGTGCATAATATCTCATAATCAAATTGCTGACTTTTTTCCTTAATGGTATATAATGTTTTTTTTTTTTATAACTAGTGGTTTACATTTAATGAAACACAGTATATGAATCTGATTTGTCAATGTGTTATACACAAATGGGAATGTGCAGTAGGCAATTTCAAGTAGTGCTGTGGGTCTTTGGAGGGTGGGGAGGGATAAAAAATTCACCCTGCTAAGTATTTGCCAAAGGCTCAATCTACCACAGTATCGACGCTTAATGCCCCAAAGCCTACTACTGAGAGATCAAGTAAACTCAGGATTGATAAGGACCAATGAACTAGCAACCAGTAAGTCATCACTGGTCATGGGCAGGGCTCAAGCAGAGGAAGCAGGAGTCCTAGATGTCTGAGGGAGGTCAAAGTATGGAAGGAATTGGGCTGTAGGCTTATACCTGGAGAATTGCTTTTAAAGTGGTGAAAGAACTGGAATTGTTTCTAATGCAAGGACAAAGAATCAAGATGAACAGACTGGAGAGAGTGGATTATTGACCCCTCAGAGAGAAGGGCCACATCAGGGCAAGCAAGGGAGAGGGTTGTCAGTGGGGAGGGGACCTTTGGGATTTTGTGCAGGGTGGCCTCAACTTTCTCTTTGAAGTTGAAGGCAAAGCTAGCTGCACACAGTGGGGGGATATAGCTGGAAGAGTGTCTGAAGAAAGTGGGATTGGGAGAGGGCCTACATTGATTATGGGCTAGCACAGACAGCTCGGTGGGCACTGCAAACCATAAAATTAGAGTGGGCTCATCCATAGTTTGTGAGACAGAGGGGGGAAGTGCAAGAAATTTGAATTGTGTTAAGAATGATCATTTAGAGGGCGCCTGGGTGGCTCAGTTGGTTAAGCGACTGCCTTCGGCTCAGGTCATGATCCTGGAGTCCCGGGATCGAGACCCGCATCGGGCTCCCTGCTCGGCAGGGAGTCTGCTTCTCCCTCTGACCCTCCTCCCTCTCATGTTCTCTCTCTCTCATTCTCTCTCTCTCAAATAAATAAAAAATCTTTAAAAAAAAAAAAAAAAAGAATGATCATTTAGATTTCTAAAGTCCCACATACTTTTCTAAGTCTCTAAAACTTCAATTTCTTAAGCAAGATGCACTCTGGGATATTCTGAATAGATTCCAGTTAGAAACTAAATGGTTAAAAGGATAAATGCTACTCCATGTAATTGCTACTTTGTAGTAATATTTAGGGCTGTTTACCTTGGCGGACTCCTTTGCTTTACCTCCATTCTTGGCTGCTTTGGTGCTGGGAGCAGTTCTCTTGACTTTGTCCTAAAGCAAAGGAAACATAATGAGGCTACTGTTATCATCAGCCCATCGAGTATAATCAAATAATGGAAAACTTAGAAGTGGTTAAGGTAGAAAGTAAAAAGGATTAAAAATAGAGGAAAATGTGGGTCACCTGATGTTCTGCCAATTTCCATGAGGAATTTTGCTCATCAAAACTGTTTCTATCGATACGTTTTTATGTGCCAACAAAGCAAGAATGGGATACTCATTTTCAGTGTTATGGAAAACAAATTTAACAATAGAAATCATCACAGAGAGCTGGAGGCAAGTCTCATACAAAGTCCTGTTCACCAAAAAGGCATTATGTATCCAGGAGCGAGAAAAAGGATGCTGAGGTAGTCTAGAAATTAAATCACCCAACAAGGGGAGGACTGACTATTCAGTGATTGGGAGAGGTGTTTAATAAGAGCAAAACAACAGCAAACAGATCTGCAGTATTATTCTGAAAATGACAATCAAGGTCACTCAATTCACTTTTCTATATGATTTATATAAGGGTATGGCTATAGGTTAAAGGCCACATACTTGTTGTACCACCTATTTTTTTCATTCACCTTTAATCACATGTTTTGAGCACCTGCTATGTCCCAGGAATTCTGCTAATGCTGAGCACAGCTGAAGCATAAAGTGCACAGCTCACTGGTATAATACACAGGCCGAGCGTAGCCCAGAGTTCGGGCCTGGGCCTCGGGCGGGAATCAGCCAGCTGGGCACGGGCAGAAAGGAGAGGAAACCCCAGGGGGCAACAGCCATGAGAAGGCACCGTGCAGGTGGGGACTGCTCTCATTTTATTTATTTATTTAACAGAGAGAGACACAGTGAGAGAGGAACACAAGCAGGGGGAGTGGAGGGGGGAGAGGCAGGCTTCCCGCCGAGCGGGGAGCCTGATGCGGGGCTCGATTCCAGGACCCTGGGATCATGACCTGAGCCGAAGGGAGACGGTTAACGACTGAGCCACCCAGGCACCCCTGCTCTCATTTTAAATGAGCAGAGACAAAGCATTAGTGTCCAATGCCAAGAGTGTGGCCATCAAACATGATGGCTTTGGGAGGTTATACAGCGACATGAAAAACACTTATGAAATAGTATTAAGTAATGTATTAGATATGGACTTAAACTTATGCATATTACCTGAAGTAATGGATCATATATATGTATCCTATATATATATTTAACATTTAAGTATATATAAATTATATATAACATGTAATATATAAATTATATTACATATAATGTATTGAATATATATATATATATACACACACAACTATGTAAAACATATACTTATGGAAAAAGATAAATATGGCCAATAATGTTGGGTAGTATAATTATGGATTTTTTCAAGTTCTCTATGGCATCATTGAATTCATTCTGCAGTCTACAGCTCTATGTAGACACACAAAGTCCATATGAAGAAGTATAGCACCTCTGCTGTGTTCTCTGAGGCTCCTGTGGGTGCAGGACAGCTGTCAAAATCGCCTGACAGGGCATCGATGGGGTCTTTGTCATCTTCAGGTTTCTGAGATATTAACAGAAATAACCATCAGTGAAGGAGCACAAGGCAAAAATACTGTAAGGGACATTTTTCCACATCACTGAAAATATGGTCTTAAAAGAAAGAGGAAACCTTGCTGACATTCTTTTCCTAAATTAAAACATGAAAATCCTTACAGCTTTACTTTCTTCCCTTTTACACAAGTTTGCTTAGTATTCTGAGCCTCAATTGTTCAATCTGAAAAGCGGGTCTGTCTACATGTGCTCTTGTGAGGGCTAAAGAGAGAAATCACACACAGCCACTCATCTTCACATTGAACCAAGCACAGGGCAGCCATTTGATAAATTTCAGATTTCTAAAAAGCAAAATAAAGTTCAGCTAGAATGAAAAAAAAAACTTTGTTTATGGCAACATGCTGCTATGGTATTTACCTTTGAGTCCTTGGGTTTCTTTGCAGGTGGCTTTGCTGGTTTGCCCTTAAAAACAAGGCAGGTTATTGGTTAAACATAGATCTTTGTAAAGGTTTCCCTCGGTGTAGTCGGTAATTGTAGACTCTATGGTTTAATGCCTTGCCTGAGATGCAATGGAGCAGAGATGTGCAGGAAGTGATAAACCTCAAGAGTCTGGTTGTGGAAGTGAAGGAAACAATTATTTAGGAACTTCCTGCCATCATGTGTTAAAATTCGACTTAGAATATTACAAAAAGTAACTTGTGTTTTTCTGTTTTATTTATAAGAGCTTATTATATGTTGGAAGGCTTTGAGGGGTTGGAATGGCATATGTTTTTCTTTTTTTCAGGATTACAAGTATAACTCAGCAGGGACTTTACCCATCTACACAGGCAAGGACATTAAATAATACCTTTCCCATGGAATAGAAGCAGGGTCAAACAGCACTATCCAAGTAGGGAGGCTTCTAGCAGGATGCAGAAATGCTATCTTCAGGAATACAGAATGCAAGCAAGGAGAATTGATTTCTCTAAGAGACACTGAAGAAAACACTTCCAATCAGGGAGTCCTCAACCCCACCCAATGAATCAGTAGAGAATGGGAAGGCTCTAATTTAGGCTTCCTTGTTTCTCGCTCAACAGGCCCGAAAAGGGTTCTTTCTCAGCTCACTGACTTGCAAGGAGAAGCTGAAAGGAAAGGGTACAGGCCTGGCTGACCTAAGGAAAACTGGTTTCCTTTAGAGACAAACAGCCAAAGACCTGACAGAGTATATTGAGATCTAGCAAGAGGACTTGGGACGGGGAATATGGTTTTGCCTGTCTTTACTCGGAATAGTGCTGCCGGTAGTACAGAGAAATAAAGGAAGAGCCCAAGTTGCAGAGGGGCCTTATTTATTTATTTAGAATTAGTCCAGTACCAGCTCCTTTGTCTGCTTTAGGCAGGAGTACAACTACCATTATTTTTTATAGCCTTTTCTTGCAAAGAGAATGCATCTGTGCACATGCCCTGGAATCTTAAGCACCAGGGACTGACTGAACACTATTCAACTCGGTGTATACCACAGCGCCCAGGGTAGTGAACATCAAACGATACTGGCTTGAATAAATATTCATCAGAATCCTAGACTACAAGCTGCTCAGGAGAGACATTAAAAGGACTCCTTTATGTGACATTTTTATGCTACTGTGAAAAGTGCACCTCCTATTCCTTGCAAGGGAGATTCAAATTACAGCTTTGTGCTATATATCCAACCTAGACATCTGCCTTCACTTACCTCCTCATCATTATCCAAGAGGTGTCTATATTCAGGGGGGATGGTGTCATCTCTTTCTCCCAGCTTGTCTCTGTGTTCGGCTTTAGCTCTTTCCTGTAAACATGGAACAGATAGAATATCTGCTCCTTCACTTAGTACTTTCTAAAACGCAGCAGTCAGCATTTATTCTACTCCCCCGAGATAAACAGTCTCTTTATTTTCTAAGTAACAACAAAACGGGTAACTTCAACAGACGACTCGATGAAAAAAAGTGAATCTAGGTGCTTCTACACATCAATCCACACGTGTGGATTTCTACCTGTATTTTAAGATAAATGATGAAATACTTATCCTTAGAAATCATGGAAAGAGAAAAACCAAGTGTATAAACTATCTTTTGTCTTTATGTGAGTGTCACTTTTTAAATAAGGTAAGTCACTGTACTTTGATTTTGAGAGAGGAACTATTTACAACCTTGATGTTTCAGAGCAACGCTGAAGGACCAGCCCGCACAGCCAACCTGAATGAGTGTGCTGACTGCTTCAGTTGTGGGGGAGGAAGCACCTGCTGCTGGGGAAGCGGCGGCTTCACCTCCCTGCGTCCTCACCTCATGGGGGCACATCTATCACAGACATTCACTCCCCACCCCATCCCCCTCGGGGGGGATTAAGGGGGAACAGGCTTCATTTTCCTGCATCATTATTTCATTTTTCAAATACAGGTCAAGTTCACATCAATGGTCCTATAACAGTGGGAGAGTGAAGACCTAAGGATCCTTTGAAATGCCCTGGGACATGGATCTGGCTGGTCACTTCCAAGCTAAACGGATCATGTAGCATGAATAAGCACTTACTGATGTTCTAGAAGGTGTGTAGAGCTAACAGGGTTTGCCTTACAGACACGCTTCTGCTCAGTGCTGACTCCTGGCCCAATGCTGCATTTAGGGGTTTGCATGCAGAGTTATGACGGCTCAGGAGTCTCCTAGGGAAATCTGACAAATAGGGGACCTCTGCCCCTACATGCACAGAATATGTCACCCTAAAAAAATGCTCATATCTGTGGGTCATATATATGAGAGATGCTGACTGCCAGATAAAACCAAGAAAAGTTAATGTGGGAAAAGAATGAAAGTAAAGCAGAGCTGTACTTTTCCATCATAACTAAGTCTGGTCTCACAAATAGGACATCCGCCTGAGCGTGTGCCCTAGCATAGTCCTTACTGAGGCAAAAAATTCAACAGACTATAGAGAAGGAAAAAATGAGACTTAAGTTACCCAACTGTTCACTAAAACTCCAAAGTCAGAAGTGGATTTTTTTTCCTTTTATGTGCATGGTAGGATACTCTGCTATGAAAACCTTAGATTTAACTTATGTATTTTTTTTACCTTGACCTTATCCTCTATTGGTTTGTTGTCATCTGGATCAGGCTGCCTTTGTCCTAGACTGTCAGAAAGTTGATCCAACGCATCGTCCAGTTCTTTGTTGTCACTCTGCTAAAAAGTCAATCTGAATTAGTCACTGGTTAGCCAAATCAGGTCCTCTTGGAATGTGGCCCTGACACGGCCACTAAGACTTCCATAAACTCATGAGATTTTCACCTGGGAGGTGGGCAGGCCCTTGGGTGGCGCTCCTTCCCCTAATCTTTCGCGGTCCACACTTCCGTTGGCCTGTCTACCCCACCCTACCCCCTGATGCCTCTCTCTCCTAAAAAAGAAAACAAGAGGCTCCAAAAATAAGGGGGTTCCTGGCCTGCTTTGTTGGAAAATGCGCCTTCCTAGGCATTCAGTGCGTGCAACACTCCTGGTGACAGTCTGAGGGCTCAGGAAAGAAAACACATGAATTATGGTAGCTTATTTTCTGATTCCCACATTTACTCATTTAAGTAAAGATTTACAAGGAGTCTGAGTGATGGCTTCATACAAAATATTAACTGAAACTAGACTTTATGATGGGAAACGGGATGGGAAAGGTGTCATCCTAAAACATACCTGTGAAAGGCATACAGGCTTTGGATTGCAGATGTTCACCACCCCCCTCAGCCAGGGCAGAGCCCTCACGTGAGTCGTAAGGACTGAAGGGTAAACAGCAGCCTGGCTCATTTATGATTCTTCCTTTCTGTGCACGGGCACTTTCATCACTGTGGGGACACACACACCCCCCCCACACACACACCCATACCCACCCATTTTACTGGTTATAAGAGCTTCACTGGAGCCCAGGATTAGAGCTGTTAATGGTGGAGCTACCCACGGCTGAGTCTGGGCTTTGTCATTTGGGCCCCTGGATATTTTCAGATAATCCTGAGGCTGACCGAACAGGATGAAAATTCATTCAGAATCTCAGACTACAGCACTAAGCAGCAAGCTTTGATGCTACATCAAAAGGAAAGGAAGCATAGCTGACTTCACTAAAGCTTCTTCATCTTCATCTAGCAAACGAGGTACTAGTTCTCATCCAAAGGAGATGGGGATCTGGTTTAGGGCAATCTCTTTGATGTGGTGTGGTCTCCTCGCCTCGATAATGTCTAGTTTGGTACTGCACAGAAAATTAATCAAGGAAGTCTGGAAAAGCTTTGGTCCCACAGAACTGCCTCAGAACATGTAAATAATTAAAACAGTATTGATGCTGAGGTTTTTGTATTGCTACCATGAAAATGACAAAGTTCTCCTGGTATGAATGGGAGGAAAACTGCTCTAACATGACATATTTGAGTTTTTGGGAGAAGGAGCTCAAACACCGAGCAATTCCATAAAATAAACGAGGTTCAATAATGCGGAGTATTTATAGCATGTGTCAGGAAAAATATAAAGGAGGAGAAAATAATCAGGAAAGCTAAAGAATTCGTCAAATCTAATAATTCGAATATATACACGATGCACACTCCTGCTCTTTCAATTCTAATAAAGCAACAGTAATATTAAGCTCCTGGACTATGTGTAAAATACTTCATAAACACTGTTTCATTTAATTAATTCAGATATTCTGCCACCTCCCAAAATCGCCAGTCTTCTCTCTTCTAAAACAGAAGGGGCTTTAATCTTCCTAACGATTTTATGTATTTTCATTTACTCTAAGGCAAGGGGCCTATTTTCTTTCTTCTTGTTGTTACTGTAAAACCTATTTCTAAGATGCTGCTTACCACAGTGTCAGGGGGTGGGCCGGCGGCGTGCGTGGTGGGAGCTGGGGTTTGGGAGACCACTTCAGAGATGACAGCAGGAAGGTTAGCGTCTTCAAATTTCTTTTGTAAAAAAAAAAAAATATATATATATATATATATACACACACACAAATATATACACAATATATTACACTTCATATACATGTCAGTAATATATACAAAACTATGCCTGCAATGCCATCACATAAATACATCTTTTTAAAGATTTTATTTATCAGAGGAGAGAGAGAGCACAAGCAGGGGGAATGGGAGAGGGAGAAGCAGGCTCCCCGCTGAGCAGGGAGCCCGATGCGGGGCTCGATCCCAGGACCCTGGGATCATGACCTGAGCCAAAGGCAGATGCTTAACAACTGAGCCACCCAGGCATCCCTAAATACATTTTTTTTTTTTTTTTAAAGATTTTAAGGAATCTTTACACCCAACATGGGGCCTGAACTCACAAACCAAGATCACAAGTCACAGGCTCCACCAACTGAGCCAGCCCAGAGCCCCTTAAATAAAATTTTTAATACAGCTTTATTACTATTTATTCTCTTCATCCAAATGGATGCAAAATAACACAAATTTTAAAGGCAATTTTGATTCTTCCTCCTCCATAGTTGCAGGTTACACCATCTCTTAATTCCTATTGATATTTATTATTCCAAATGTTCAATAATCTAATGAGAGTTGCAGGGTCTGTTTACACATTTTTTGGTGTACATTTAGGTTGTTTGCAGTTTTTCAGCTTTCTTCTTTATAATTAGTTGCTCTGTGTGAGTTCTAAGAGTGATTCTTTTTATGGCGCTGGCTCGATCCTGACAAACTGCCCTGACTCTCCAGAGCTGCTAGACATTCGTACTGTGGAGGGCAATGAATGAGCATGCTTGCTTTCTGTGGCCTCCCCTGCCTCAGTTAGAAATCTGTTACATATTTTTAATTCTGATACAAGGTGTATAATGATGTCCCAGTGTTGCTTTATACCTGGTATATGTTGTGTGGCTTCAGTGTTATTATTTTTTCTTAATGTTAAATAGTATATTATTCCAGAATCTTTCTGAAATAATGATTTATTCTCCTTTAAAAAATATACTAAATCTTTTATGTTCATTTCTCAGTTTTTTCCCATTGATCTATAGCTTTGCATTCTGAATCAGAATTGAATTTATCATTATCATATAAATCAATTCCTGTATTTGAAGTCATCTTTCCTAAAAATACTGAAAAATGCTTTTGAAAAATGCTTTTCAGTATTTTTTCATGTTTTTATACATTTGCTTTAGCTTTTCAAACATATTTTAGAATAATTTTATTGAGTTATATGAAGTGCTATTTTAAGTTAAAAAACTGACTTATAAAATGGCTGTAGAGATTTGTCATGATTCTTTTAAGACACGGAGTCAAACTATCTTAGATGTTTTAATTCATGTTTTCATTTTTCTGTTCATCTACTGCTCTTTTCTTTAATGTCTGACGTCTCATACTAACTATATTTTCCAATCTGTTACTGATGTACACAGCATGCACAATGGTATGTACAAATGTGGTATCTACAACTAGGGATATCTACAAATGCACAAATGTTCCTTTTTCATACTTGTCATTTCTTTTTCATGTGTTGTTATTGATTCTTTATACACCACTAAGCAGAAATGACAATAAAATCAACTTCTTACACTTTTTTTCTAAAGGAAATGCCTCTAGCTTAATTCTGAATATTTGATTCTTGAAGTTAAATATACTCTTTAATACATTAAGGGATTACCTACTTTTTAAAGGTTTTTATTTAAAATATGAAGGCATATGAAATTTGAAATACATCTTTTATATGGACATAACTGATTGTTCCTCTCTGATACACTACTATGCTATATGGATTTCCCTGATATTAAATAAATCTTGAATTTCTGACAGTGGTAAATAATTACTTTAATAATTCTATATACTGTTTGTTAAAAATTATACATCTACAGATTTGAGTGACTTTAGTCAAAGCTTTATAATAGCTTAAGTTTGAAATTCAAAATTCAATAAACATTTGGTTAATCAGATTTCTCTTTTCCTCCATTACTGATGAAGGAAAGTATTTATGATATTGTATCTCATGAATACTTATTTGGCTACTTATCAAAGATTTTGATTTGCAAATGTCTTATACTTGATTTTTTAAAATAGTCTCTTCAGAATTTACTTCTTGATTTCAGTGGTAGTGGAATGTTTTTAACTTTCTCTTTTTATTTTTATTGTTTTCAAGCAGGGGAGCAGCAAAGGCAGAGGGAGAAGCAGGCTCCCAGCTGAGAGGGGAGCCCAACACGGGTCTGCATCCCAGGATCCTGAGATCAGAACCTGAGCAGAAGGCAGACGCTTATCCGGCTGAGCCACTCAGGCACCCCTAAATTTCTCTTTTTAAATAGAATTTCTATTTTATTGTGATCAAAGAACATGGAATGCACAGCAGGCACTCCTTTATATTTGAACATTAATTATGAGTCAGAATATGATACTTTTCCTCCAAAGTTCTTGGGACTTTCCCCCAAATAATTTTCTACTTTGAACTCGTACTATAATTGGTTATTTCTACTTTGTTCATGATAGACACTAATAAATTTTTCCCTTTGCTAGACTAATTTTCCAAGATTATAATTTTTTTAAAAAAATGGTTGGTTATTTTATCTCTAGTCATTTCACTGCTATACATTTTTTGGGTGGGTATAAATTCAGTTACATTTTCTTTGAATTTCTAAAAGAAAAACCCTAACTATTATAATAATACAAACAGTATGGGGAAGGTGATTAAGGCATGCGCCCCCACCCCCCCCAATCTGTTGTTTTGCATCACTCTAACGATATGATTCCACATTCCTGGGCATACTGCTCACTTTATATTCTCCCCTAAATCAGGACTCAGGAGCTTTTCTGTACTGTAATCTGTTTGTATGGAGGAGGAAAAGGGGAAGGTCATGGAATGGGGTGACTCGTACATACTGCCTGGGCATCATGCTTTCATAGGGGTCCAGTGAGGACCATGCAGTGGTTAGTAATCCTGTCTTTGAAGGGTTTATTGCTTCATCAAGTCCAAAAATGAGCAACTCCAAGGAATCACTATTTCTCCTAGTTGCTACTCATTTTGTTTCTCTACTGATATATTGTCTATGCCATTGTCCACATAAGAACCCTGTAAATAGACAACCCAGATCCCACAAAAAAACGATCTGGAATTATACAAGTTTGGGCACTCCAACAGACTTACAATACATTTGCATATAAATAAGCTCTAAAAATCCTATAGTAGAGCAACCTGCTTACCATTACCCAACATTTCCTGAAATTTCTAGTAACAAAATTCCCTTTGAGGAACTATCTGTTCTACATAGAGCTAAATTTCCGTAGGAGGCAATTACGGAAGATGATAAATTGTAGAAATATCAACAGGTAAAGTTATTTGAGATGTACTTTTGGGTAAATTCAGTTTTAAATTCTCTTTTCCTAAGTATACTTGATAAAGAGTATATGCTCATTGGTTCAATTAGTTACACTGTTGCAAATATCCACTGTGCTGGAACACTATTTCATGATAGGACACACATCTCATGGCCACAATGGGTTGAAGGCCTTTAATTCTGTGACTGTTTCCTCAGCTCCAAGGTCAGATTCTAAGTCACTCTAAATGTAATTTAAGTGTTTCCATTTATTTCTGCCACCCTACAAGTAAGGAAATAAAACCAGGAGTTTCAGACTTACAAGAGATGCAGAGTTTGGGGAACCAGCGAAGTCCTTAGACAAAGCATCAAGAAGGAAGTCTTCACTCATGGGCTGTAAGAACCAAGAAATGTATCAACAAATGCCCCCTCATCTGTTTCCTCTTCAAAGGATGTCACTATTTATGGCTGATCAGCTTATTAAAAAGAAAGCCATGCCCTTCCAGAATTAACAATCAGGGCCAAGTAAGAAAGATATGCTTAGAGAAAATGGGCTTTGCTTACTGGAAGCGATTCCTTGGACACTTTTGTCAGGAGTGGTTTTCCATCTTTATCCTATTTGGGAGAGAAAAACACAGCACAGATTCATTTCACTTGATTTATCCTGGGGGATTTATCCCAAGTACAAACCCTTGTAAACTCTGTAAGGCGTCTACAGGTTATACCCAATGTTGTACATTATAAATCAGATTCATCAATTCAGGAAAAAGATTCTCTCACCAGGGAATACAGGAATATCTGCTGGGAGCACAGGGATGCACCCCTCACCTGTTTGAGGGATGGGCTTTGCCAAAGTTGCCTGAAAACTGGTTAATTTCATAGGCAAGACATTCAACTACTATGCCCTGATTCTGTGCGACACCCTGTAGTAAGCACTGAGAATATTACAGAAAGAAGGATAGACAAAATTCTTGCCTATCATCTGAGCTCATCCTTATGGCTCAGATGATGCAAGTCTGAGATGACTCTAAGTGCCACTTCTGAGAAACAGGACAAAGACATGAAAGCATTTGAAGCTGTTTAGTAAAGGAAAATTTATAAATGAATGGTAAATCCCACTTATCCACATACACACAAATAACTTGGCGCAAGCCTACAGAGATGTGTAGTTGGATATAAATATGTAAGAATATATGTACATTTAGTTGAATATGCTCTTAAGTAGCAGCATCTTTTTTTTAGTGATTTTTTTTTTATTATGTTATGTAAGTAGCAGCATCTTATGAAGATAACGGACATGTGTTCTGTCCACACGCGTGTCCCTGATCAAGTGATTGTGCTTCAACTACAAATACATAATGCAGTCTTCCCCACTGTGTCACTTGTTCTATGTGATCTGTACTTTCAAAATGAAAGAAACAGAATAATTATCCTTTTACTTAATGTCAAACAGGCTTTCTTACTTTTCCAATGTATGTCTAAGAGTTGCAAATTTTTCTTCCTAGGAAATAATTATTCCTCACTTTAGTTTTCCTAGTTACATAAAGGTTTTCTAAGTTTTTCTTTGTTTCCGGTATTGTAACAAACCATGTATTAAATGGGAAAAAATTAGGCAGCTTAGGCATTAGATTTTTTTCACTTAAGGGAGGAGTGAAAGGTCACTGAGGAATATTTTAGCTTCATACCTGGTATGCCAACAGAGTATTAGCAAACTATGTGGCATTGAAACATTAAAAACAAGCTCTTTATATTCCAGGCCTGTTTCCATGTCCCTGCTTTATGTTTATAAAATTCAGTATTAATTAAAATAAAATGGACAAACACCCCAGGCTGTTTACCTTGACCTCTTCTAGTCTATAATCAGGAGGAATGGTTTCTTCTTTTTCACCAAGTTTTTCACGATCCTCTTCTTTGGCTTTCTCCTGCATAAAGATTATACCATTTTCATGATTAATACACCTCCATAAAGTGGATGCCTAAGTGGCTCCATGTGAGGTAAGCAGCTCCACTGTTAGACCAGAACATACCTACGGCCCAGTGTGTAGAGGTCCCAGAGCAACCTCCGCTTTCTCAGCCTCCCCTACCTCCGCCACCTCCCGATGCCACCCCTATCACCTGCTGGGCTGAAGGGCGATGCTGAGGGGCTGGGAAGCGACCACTTCCCTCAGGCCTCCTGGGCAGTGCGAATACACACGACCCGGGCGCGACGCAGAGAGTATGAGCATGCTATCTGTCCGCCGCTAGAGCGAAACACTGATGCTTACACAGGGTTAGATTATCGAACAGGTATGCTCCCTAAGAGATAAAGCCAGCTGGTCACGTGTTGTGGGGAAAAAAAAATGACTAACTTCCTTGGGGAGTGAAGACCATCAGTAACAGCTCCTTTCTAGAAGTGACTGAGCTGCTATTACCTTCACTTTATCCGCCACGGGCTTCACATCTTCTTGGTCTGCTTCTTTCTTCCCCAGGCTGCCAGCCAAGTCTTCTACCGCATCATCTGGCACCATGCCTTTCTAAAAGCACATTCGAGGATACACTAAGTAGGTAGTTAATCACTCCTTTTAAAAGAGACTGCATCAAACAATTCAGAAGGGCATATCCTTATTTCAGGTCTAGATAAGAAGTACATGTCATCATTTAATTACCAACTGAATTAGAATCTATGTTTAAGGGCGCCTGGGTGGCTCAGTTGATTAAGCGACTGCCTTCGGCTCAGGTCATGATCCTGGAGTCCCGGGATTGAGTCCCGCATCGGGCTCCCTGCTCAGCAGGGAGTCTGCTTCTCCCTCTAACCCTCCTCCCTCTCCTGCTCTCTGTCTCTCATTCTCTCTCTCTCAAATAAATAAATAAAATCTTAAAAAAAAAAAAAAAAAAGAATCTATGTTTAAGAAACCTACAATGTTAAAAATTGGACCAAGTTTCCTATGCTAAGTAAACATTAAGTGGGTGTAACATGTATTGACACTGAGCCACTTACATAATCTAACCCAGTGTCTTGGTTTGAAAACAAGACAATGAAAAGGGTATACCTCAGAGAAGCAGAAAACCAGGAAAGGTTTTAAAATATTTACGGGGATCATTCTGGAGAGGGCACAGGAAAGATGTCCAGAAAGGCCTATGAGAGGACGTTCTTCCCAGTGCTCTGTGAAATCAGCCTGGCCCCTCCCGGAGGTGGCTCAGACAGAGCCTCTGCTGAGACACAGAAGCTCGCACTCTTTACATGCCTTCTACTTGTCAAGGTGGATTCACGCTGATTCAGGTGACTGCCTGTGCCTGACTGACCCGAGTGCCACAATGGGAATGGTCTACCTGGGGTCCCACTGTTCAAAAGGGAATGTGCTCCCTCCTGATGCAGTGAGCTCCGGCCATGCTCGTCTTTAATGAAACTGGGTGAAGACAACATAAATGATATAAAGGGGCTAAAAAATCAGACTTGATCTGACTTCTTCCAAACCCCAGGTCATGATCTATCCACTGATGGTTCATAAAATCAATTCAACAGTTCATGGGCAGGTCTTTTTTTTTTTTAATGAAAGAATAGAAAATAGAATGCATCATACATAACAAGGATAACTACTATTCACTAAACTGTTATTTCTATTGTATAGATACTGAGTTGAAATATCAATGAATTTCTTATTGCTGCTTTTAGTCAAAAGTATGAAAGCTTCTGAATGAAAAAGTCTTGAAGTTTATTCCTCTAAAACTCTATGACCTCACATAGAGTACATATTTGACTACTAGAGTAAAAGTATCTTTCTGTTTATATGCCTTAACCATCGATGTAAGTAAGAAAAGTTTTTCTGCTTAGCTGCACTGCAAAAGAGATCACCAATGAGAAAACGGAGCCTGAGTGGAAGGTGATTTATCTCACCCTCTAGTGGTTGGACGCTGCATAGATTTTATTCCTAGGAGCAACAAAAATCCCTGATTTATCTAACCTGTTTGGGATTCTATCTAAAATGCAAGATGTGCAGTGACCAAAGCCTTAACCAAGCAATTGGAACTGCTAGCTTGATCTAAGACATGCGCTCACACTTGAGCTTGGTTTTCTCCTACTCTCTGCTGTAGAATCTTTGGAAACAACTACTTCCTGTTAAGCCTGCTCCCCTTGGCTTAAGAAATAAACCAACCTGAGGTAGCAAGGCTAGGACAGCACTCTCAAGGATGAAGCAAACTGGAAACAGGACTAAGGGCTGAAACTTCAATTTCTGTAGTTATTTCATGTTGTCAAATTCACAACTAGAACTCAGGTTTCTGGATTTCCTCAAGCTTTCTTTTTATACAAACGAGAACCACAAAGGGCACACATTCATCTCCTTCCTCTGTCATTTGTTTCCTTTTGCTCACTAATCCTCAAGCCCTTCTTGGGTCCTCTGACCTTTGTCATACTTCGTGGCTATTCATTCTGGCGCCCATGGCTGTCACAATTCCAGAAACGCCAACTAACTTCAGTGACGGTAATCTCAGCAACCGTGGTCACCAGAGCAGATGGAGCAGACGCCCAGAAAAGATGGTCAGAGAATGGAAAAACAGAGCGCTTTTCTGTGCACTAAACATCCAATGCTCGATGCCCTGCAGTCAGCGTCAAGCGAGAAAGGAAGGTACCCTCGAAGGCCCTGGCCAGCACCCGGGGCGCAAGAGGTGGAAGACCCATGTTTAAGTCACAGAGTTCTGCTCTGGAATGTTGCCTATTGTCTTTTTGATTCCACTCACCACCTCTGTTCTCACTTCCTTCACTGTCTCTTGCCACATTCGCTCCTCCTCTCCTAGTCTTGACCACCGTGCCTTGTGGCTTTGTTCCCACAATGTCAAAGTTCTGCGGCATACCCAGAGACCTCAAAAAGAGGTCAAGTCCTGTGTAAGGCAGGAGTTAGACCTTGGCCTTTGAGGGGATTTTCCCTTGGCACCAAGAATGTCCCTGGCAGAAAGCAGCTGCTTTAGGGCACCCAGGACACACATCCCACAATCTCTTCATCTTCTTTTCTCGAACAACTAAACGCACTAAACCCAAGTACACCAAATGCTTTACCCCTCTGTGCCGGCTTGTCCTTGCCTCACTGTTCTCCCCAGGAAGCCAGTACTATTCCAGCTTCTCAGTGTGATCATTCCCTCCTTTCTGTATTTCCTAATTCCTCCTGGGGGCGGATCCCTTCGGCCAAGCTCCCCCTGCCCTTTTTCCATATGAGAAAGATCAAAATGTACCATAAAAAGCTGGCTATCTGGCCATACCCACACTAGATGCTAAAGTAACTAAGAGCAGGAGCCTCATCGTTTATATCACCAAGGCTCTGAAACGTTAAGTGGATTGCTCAAGGTCAACTCAAAGCTTCACTTCCCTCATCTGTACCAGAGAGATGATCAGAACCGGACTCACAATGTCCTTATGAAAGTTTAATAAGATATTGTCAAGCATCTACAACAAGTTAACTCTTCAGAGTGTAGATTCACTAAATCTGTCGTAATAAGGCACAGTTCCATCAGCTGTTAGGCTGAGTCAGACTCTACCTGCTAACACAAAACCCACTGAATTCAAAAAGAAAGATTCAACTACTTAATTACCATACTTCATACAAAAGTTAGAACCTGAGAGAGAGGCAAGTCGAGAAGAAAATGGAAAGGAATTGAGAGAACCTCCCTTCCAGTGGGAGTGGGGAGAAGTCCTGATGATTCTGGTGCAGATTATTCCACTAGGAGAGTCAACGAAAGATAACATCAGGCTGTTTGTGGATCTCCAAGCAGGCTTGAAGGATGTGCGAAAGTGAAAAGGCGTGATTATCCACAACAGCTGGGGAAGCAGAAAGCCCTTCAGCAGGTGAAGGAAAAACACTGCGGCAGTTTAATTAAAAGCAGATACTATAGCTCTGAAAGATTTTCTTACTTTGTTAGCTTTAATAATCTGCTGGTAACACACAGCAGCAAGTGCATGGGAGGAAGAACATTACGCTCAGAGGATCACTCACTGAGGTGGGTGGCTTGGGTGGCGCCGACTGTATACGACACATGGAAGTCCGAGGCACGGCCTCACTCACGGGAGTTAGGGCAGCAGCCTGAGACTCCTGCGGAGAGAAGGAAGTATGATGAAGGGTTTCTAGAAATACCTGGTTAGTGAGACTGAACAACAACGGACAAACAATACACTCCCCTATGTTACATGCTGCGAGCATGATTTTCTTAAATGCCGAAGGACTGCTGAATAGTGAATAAATCAAGGCCATGTTAAAACTCCTCTACCATTATTTCAACTTCGTTTTACCTCTTACCTTAGGTAGGTTACTTAACCTCTCTGAGACTCAGTTTCCACATCTGTAAAATGAGAACAAGGATAGTACCTACATGTCAAGGGTCAACATGAGGCTTTCAATGAGGTAAAACATGTCCAGTGCTTTGCATACTATCTGGGAACACTGTGAGCGCAATAAAATTAGCAACTATTATTATTCATATTACTTTCATATAATATATAACAATAATATGCCAATTATATAATGTAACGTTTTATATAAATGCATCCTTTTTGTATATTTAAGAGCACCTTATTGATTGTGAATAGGTATGTACAAATGTAAGGAAGTAATACGATCCCAGGGGTTCTCAAAGTATGGTGTCTGGAACAGCAGCAATCAGGGAAACTGTTACAAATGCAAACTCTTGGGTCCCCACCCCAACTACTATGGAAATTCTGGAGGTGGGGACCAGCAATCTGTGTTTTAACAAACCCTCAGGTGATCTTGGTACTAAAATTTGAGAACCACTGTGCTATCTGCTCACAAGAGTAAAATTTCAAACAAACTGGTTTTAATCCAGGCACTTACAAAAGCTTATCCTATGTGTAAGGTGCTCAGTAGATGATCACTAACAGGATACTATCTCTTCTTCCAAGGAACTTACTGTTTACTTACAACTATGTATACATGTCAGAGGTGAAGACCAAGACAGCTAAAACCTTGCTTGTAATAAATATCTCAACAGGGATATAGAAAGAACAGCAGAGCCCCGGGTGTGCTGTATTCTGTTTAGAAAGGTTTGGAAGAGTGGTAAGGTTTGGGAGGGAAAAGCAGGAAACAAAGGCTATGTTTTAGTAGAGCTTTAAAGGCATGACTGACATTTTAGATGATCGTGAATTAGGAAGGAAGGTTATTCCACAAAGAAGGACCACATGAGAAAAGTCAAGGCCTCACAAACACAAGCACTTATTGTCACAGTTTAGTAATGGGAGGACACACTTGGTAAGGAAGGAAGCTGGGGCCAGAACACATTAGCAGGGACTTTTATTTTGTGGGCAACGGGGAGCTCCTGAGGATTGGAGCAGGGGAATGATGTGGCTACCAACACGCTTGCTTGGGAAACACTATTTCTGGCGGACATATGGGAGGGACTGAAATGAGACTGATGACAGAGGCCCCTGCCACCATGAGTTTCAGAAGGAAGAACAGAAAGGAAAGCATGGGTGTGAATGCTTTCCTGAAGGAATAATTATAGGACTTCAATTATAAGAATATCAGGGTCGGTTTGGGAAAAGAAAGCACATCTAGAAAACGTCAAGATGAAAACTGCCTATAGGAATGCCTGGGTGGCTCAGTCGGTAAGGCGTCTGCCTTCAGCTCAGGTCATGATCCCAGGGTCCTGGGATCGAGTCCCGCATCGGGCTCCTTGCTCAGTGGGGAGCCTGCTTCTCCCTCTGCCTGCTTCTCCCCCTTCTCCCTCTCTCTGACCAATAAATAAATAAAATCTCTAAAAAAGAAGAGAAAAGAAAAGAAAACTGCTGATAAAAAAGATGGTACAAATGGTTTCCATCAACTCCTTCATGCTAAAATCGTTTAGGCCTCACATTTTTAAGATTATAGACAAGTATTTTTAAAAACCACAGAATTAGAGATGTGTATTTTTAGAAACATACTTCTGTTTTTTCAGATGGCTTAGATTGTTTTCCTTTACTTTTAGGCTGGTTAAAATCTTCTGAAAGTTCATCAATGAGTTCTGATTCACTCAGGGGCTGTAACAGAAGAAACACTACATTATGAAGGGACTAATTTTTTTTGTTAAAAACAAGCTTTTCAGAGGGAATTTTTTTTGTTAACACATATTAGGCCATATTTTAGGATCTAAAACCAAAATTTATATTGGGGATATTTTTTAATTTATCAATGTAAGAAAAATGTCATGCAATAACTAAGGAATACTGGACACCTGAGTACCACAGGAGTGTTCATGATTCATTTAGTCAAAAGTTTTCCTGATCCTTCAATTTCCGAAGGATTTTGTTCAAATAAAACTGCCTATTCTTTCCAATGAAGATCTTTCTTAGGTGATTTTTTTTTTTTTTTTTTTTTTTACTATTTCCTAATGACTTCCTTCTGAATAGCTCCAGAAACACAGATCACATACCCTTTCCTATGACTATGTGGGATTTGGGCAGGAAAGTTCTCCTATCCTTAGTTCCTTCAGATGAAATTCATTTAGAGCATGTGGAAATTTTGACTAATACCAGTCATCTATAACAGAACTGCATGTCGATTGAGAAGCTGTGCCTCCGTGTTGGAAAGCCTGAGTTTTGGGTCCTGGCTTTGCTGTGTAACCTTGGGCTACTCACATAACTTCTCTGGCTCTGTTTCCTCACATGTAAAATGGAACGATAAGAGCGCCCTCTTCATTCGGTGAGGACCCAACAAGGTAACATATGAAAGGCATCCGGTGCAGTGTCAGGCACGTCATAAGTGATTAATAAATGTTGCTGCTTATTATATCCTAACAAGCAACTATACGGCTTGATCCCAACTTAAGTGAAGGCAGAGTAGAATCATTAAAGTAACTGATGTCATGATGCCAATCAAACTCTGAGGTGCGAACAATCTATTTTGAGGCCCTCTTGACATCAGCTCCTAATGTCCAGTGAATGTCACCTAGAAACCCATAACACTCTAGTAATCATTCATGAGGGGAATCCTCATTAAAATACGTGAAAAGGAATCAGAAACATGAGCCAAGTGTTGCCATCACAAGCTCCCCTTTCTTCAATACTAGGTTGGCATTCAAGTCTCCGCAGCGAAATCCTGTCAAAATTATCGCAACTTAAAACTTAACAGTTCTTTTGTTCTTTAATTGTCAGAAGAATCACTTCCTAACCTTGGATTTTTCTTCATGCTCTGGCAATAGTGGTTTTCCATCTTTATCCTGAAAATAAAATAGAAAATTCACTGAAAATGAAATAGAGTATTTTGTTTTCATGGCCCGTAGTTTGTTTTATTAGGGAAGGCTATGAGAAAAGAGATTTTTTTTTCTTATATTTGAGTGATTTGTTTTTGAGTGAATTTCTTATACTTGAGTGAAAAAATTTTTCAGGGTTTTTTTTTTTTTTCCTTATATCAAGTATCAGAATAAAGAGCTGAAGTATAAAAAAAAAAAAGTCTCTATTCTCCAACCCAGGGTGAAGAGGTAGATCTCATTCCTACAATTGTTTTCATTTTCTGGAGATGAGTTTCATAATCCAGAATATGTCTAAAACTGAGAAACTTCCCATATATAAGCACATATAAGAACTGAAACATTTTCCACCATGTATTTCTGTGTATTTTTTCAAAGATAAATTACAAATATAACTACAGAAGTTAGTCCACCATCCTCACTTTAAGCCAAAATCAACAACAATAAAACCGCCTTCACTGAGGATACTGGTAAACAGTTGTACCTTTATGTCTACCCCTTAGAAGAGCTATGCTGCTTTTATCCACACAGCAGTTACAGAAAAAAATTATTCCCAAATTGTTCCTTGAGCTTTAAGGTTCAGGACCTATGTCGTGCATCATTAAGAGCTGTAACATGTAAATTAGTGGGAATTTTAATGACCACATGGTTACCACTTAGGAAACCATTCCTTAACTAACTTTAGAGAGCAGAGAAGAAAGTGTTCAGGGTTTTCCATTAGTATATGAACTGGGACAGAAATGTCCCTAACTATCCTGGGGACAGACCCAACAGAAAATAACGTGAAGGCAAGAGGAGGCTATTGGCAGGCACCGTGGCTAACGACGTACCGTGGCTGCTTTTAATCTGTACTCTGACGGGATGGTTTCCTCATCTTCACCACACTTCTTTAGTTTCTCTTCTTTGGCTTTTGCCTGATCAAAGTGGAAGGCAGAAATAAAACACAGAACAGTTTGGTAATGCAGGTAAGAGGATATCACTTTATGTACTTCATGAGTGATGTAGCGAAATCAGATTCCAGTGTGTCTGTGTGCTTTGTAGACAGCAGAGCACAAGACCGTGCTGAGTGCTGGTTCTGAGGAAGGCAGCATTAAGTGACGGGAGAAAAAAATGACACGGCCAGGAATCCTGGAAGGTGGACCTGCCCTGCTCTCAGCTGCTCTCTGACCTTGGGAAGCCACTCAGTCTTTCTTCAGCTGTAACATGGGGCTACTGATAACTTTTATCTAGTTCACGGACTTGTAAAGATCACTAGGAAAAAGTAAAGAAAATATCGTTTGAGACAGTTAAGCACAGTACAGAAGTTAGTTGTCATTATTCTAATGGCTTTCATCTGCCTTACTCAACAAGGTGGTTATCTGCAGGTGGGGGAAACAACTAGTTCCCATGAACGTTAAACACAGTTCAGAAATGGGAGAAGCATCTCATCACAAATCTTGGCTGATCCATGGATAATTCATTTGGCCTCTTTTGAAAGGACTCCCTTTTTAAATTTTTTTTCTTTTAATTTCAGTGTAATTAACATACAGGGTTACAGTATTTTCAGGTGTACAATATAGTGATTCAACAATTCTAGACATTACTTGGTGCTCATTGTGATACGTGTACCCTTAATCCCCTCCACCTGTTTGACCCATCCCCCTGCCCACCTCCCACCTCCCCTCTGGTAACCATCAATTAGTTCTCTACAGGTAAAGAGTCCGTTTCTTGGTGTGTCACTCTTTCTCTTTTTGTTTGCTTGTTTTGTTTCTTATATTCCACATGAGTGAAATCATATAGTATTTGTCTTTCTCTGACTTATTTCCCTAAGGTTTATACTCTCTAGCTCCATCCGTGTTGTTGCAAATGGCAAGATTTCATTCTTTTTAATGGCTGAGTTATATTCCATTGTATGTATATACCTCATCTTCTTTATCCATTCCTCTACTGATGGACACTTGGGCTGCTTCCATAATTTGGCTATTATAAATAATGCTGCAATAAAAAAGGACTCCCTTCAATAACAACAGGGCTTTACTGGATTACTGAACCATGAAAAACCAACAGCATTAAGAGATGAAACTGTACTTCTATAGATTACTGGCTTTGAGGATATAACATTTGCATTTTAAACTACTGGTGCCTGATGGGAAGTTCCATGATACGTAATAATTGGTACCTATATCAAGGCATGGATTTAAATCACAAAACAAGGAGCTCTAAGGCACAAAGGGGAATATCACTTAGCAAATTCCAGCTTAACCCAGCTCTCACTTCAACCTAAAACTGTAGTTCTCCACTGAATGATTAGTTGATTAATTTTAAAAATATTAAGCACTTTTGGGGCGCCTGGGTGGCTCAGTCGTTAAGCATCTGCCTTCAGCTCAGGTCATGATCCCAGGGTCCTGAGATGGAGCCCCGCATCGGGCTCCCTGCTCAGCAGGAAAGCCTGCTTCTCCCTCTCCCACTCCCCCTGCTTGTGTTCCCTCTCTTGCTGTGTCTCTCTCTGTCAAATAAATAAATAAATAATCTTTAAAAAAAAATATTAAGCACTTTTAGTGAGCCAAGCACTCTTCTAGGCTTTAGAATTACAGTTTTATTATTCTATAAATTAACAATTCTCATTAAGGGATGAAAGGTTTTGTTTTTGTTTTTTTTAATAATTCTAATTCTAGGGCGCCTGGGTAGCTCAGTCGGTTAAGCAACTGCCTTTGGCTCAGGTCATGATCCCAGGGTCCTGGGATCAAGTCCCGCATCAGCCTCCCTTCTCAGCAGAGAGCCTGCTTCTCCCTCTCCCTCTGCCTGCTGCTGCTCTGCCTACTTGTGCTCTCTCTCTGTGTGTCAAATAAATAAATAAAATCTTTAAAAAATATATTTCTAATTCTATTCTACTGCAGCATATGAAGTCCTACTATGTAGTGGTACTCCCCAACTCAAGAGCTTTGTGAGGTTTCCACCTAGAAAACAGCCTTCATGAAAGTCAAGGGTCACCTGTGTAAGACTGTCTTCTCCAGGCTCGTGGACTATGAGGATCATGTGCACAGTGAGATCCTTTCTATTCCTGTTTGATCTTTATGTTCTTTAAATGCCGGCACTGTAGGCATGTCTACTGATTTCAAAGCACCAGAAATAGGGAAAATGAATCAGGTATCATTATGGAATATTTATTTTGTTATGATATAAGAATGATCAGTAGGCATGGATGTCTTCTCTGAAGCATTACGTAGTTTTTCCGCAGAGACCTCTCTAGTATGGAATGTACTGGAGTGGCTCTGGACTCCTATAGGATACTCAACTTTATGAGGCTTATCAAAACATCAGACTATCCAGGGCGCCTGGGTGGCTCAGTTGGTTAAGCGACTGCCTTCGGCTCAGGTCATGATCCTGGAGTCCCAGGATCGAGTCCCGCATCGGGCTCCCTGCTCGGCAGGGAGTCTGCTTCTCCCTCTGACCCTCCTCCCTCTCATGCTCTCTGTCTCTCATTCTCTCTCTCTCAAATAAATAAATAAAATCTTTAAAAAAAAAATAAACAAAAAAAAACATCAGACTATCCAGAAAGTAATACATTCACCACCAGGCACTAAAAATTCAGCTTAAGAATCCACAGGGCTGGAAGATCTTAGGAACTATTTATACTTTGTACATAATTAAAAAGGAAAACTAGTGGAAAACAGCAGAAGAGAAAGTGGAAACTAGTATAAAGAGTAGAAAGAACAGCTCTTTCAGGTAAAATTTTAGGAGTTGACTGCTGTGGGGGTTTTCTAGAAGAAATCTAATACATTTATACGCATCCCAAAACTACACACCCCAAGTGCTCTTAAGAAGTCGTTTTTATGTAGCATTTTTTACTTCTCCTGATCTGATTTTAGTTACTCTAAGACTCTGTCCTGAGATTTATGTGTATACCTTTCCACCCCAAACTGCTGTCTTACTAAATCACCAATTCTCTGTAAAAAGCCTGAAGCAAAAGTGCAAGGGGCTCACTGCTCTGTAGCTCTCTGGGGGCAGAACGGCACAATTCCACCTGGTCTGACCCCACCCCCCACCCCCGGGGTTCGGCCTGGACCGCCCTCTCCCTGAGACACCTGGTCAGGTGGCTGCTCTAATTACTGTGCGTCTCGCATTGTGCCTTTATGAAAGTTCCCTTTCTTCTCAATACATTACTTGGTCCTGGAGGACAAGGACTGCTTCCCCCGCTCCCCTGTGTTCGCCTTCACAAAGCTCGTCATGCCACACGGCGCCCGGTAAGCCCTCAAAGAAAGCTGAAGATAGAAACTGGCCCATTTCGGACCAGAGCCGTCCCAGACTCAGGGAGGGTTGCCGGGGGTCGGCAGACTCACCCTCCTCAGCGATTCAGAACAGGAAGTGACAGCAGAGGCAGCAGCATTGTGACAGCAACACCTGTCAGCTCCCCTCCCTGCGCTGACAGGCTGGTGCTCCTGAGGGTCCCCGGGCTCTATTTCCATGCCCCTCAGCCACACTGCCTTGTTGGCAATGCCCGGAGGCAACTCCCTCTTTCCCCTCCTCTTTCATTCCACATGAATCAGTTGAAAAATTCTTTACAAACTGTAATTTAATGTTAGAACTCTTCTCCACCAAAAACAAGCTTGCTTTGGCTCAGAAGACTTGTTAAGTTGTTCCTGGTGGTGGGATAAATACCCCCCAGCATCACACTCTAAGCACACAGGAACTCCAGTTACAGAGTTAATTGTTGCTTGATTTCATTCTAATTTGAGACAAGATTTTCAACATTTTTCTCCACAGTTATAAAAAGAAGGCTCTCCCTATCCCATCTACAGCTTTCTCCTTCTTTGCTTATGAAGAGAAGCACCTGGTACCCCTCTGAAAATATACATTTCCACATCCACAAGAGCAGACAAACCTATTCCTCACCAAGCCACTGCCTCTATGTTATCTTGTTTCATCAGGTGTCACTGAAGCATTGGCAAAAGAGAGTGGCATTCACTTTAAATATTAAAATTCTAGATGGTTTATAAGGCAAACTCTCAACTACCCTTCTTGGTTACTAACTACCCAGGAATGGAGATCTGAGTTAACCAGACTCTGAAAGTAAGACAGAATGAAGAGTAGTTTGTTTTTAATCTCCAATAAAGAAAAGCTGTGTGAGAATTCTAAACACGCATAACTGCATTTAGTTTCATAACCTGCAGACTGACAAGCTTTGTATATGAACTCCAAGGTCAGTACCTCGTCGACTTCCTTAACAGAGCTGAGGTCGAACTCAGGTTCTGGCTTCCGGCTGCCCAGTGAAGCTGAAAGAGCCTCCAGTGCTTGATCGCTCATCGTGTCCTGCTAAAAAGGAAAAATTTTGTGCATTAAAAAAGAGAACATCTCCTCAGCCTGAACAATCTAGCCACTACTTTGTGAAATCCCAATTTCAAGTTTAGGAGTCGTGGATTAGGGAAGGACTTTTGGAAGGCAATTGTATCTGAAACCTAGCAAAAGAGAGAAAGAGAAAAGAAGTTACCAGTGAGAGAAACTGGGGCTGAGACACTTCTAGAGTGTCTTACACGGTGTGTACCCTCACAGGCACCCTTCACCCCTTATTTATCAAGCTATAACTATAATAATATTATTATGAAATACTTGTATCAAAAGAAAAGCTGCAAGAAGTAAACTTTCACTTTTCTGGTGTTTTTTTTAAAAAATGTGTCTCTAAAAATAATTTCTGACAACCCTGTCCCTCAGCAAACTAGCTAAGCCCAGGAAGCTGGGAAACCTGGAGTGGCCCCGGCAGCCTTCTCTGAAGGCACAATGGCTGATGGCTGTAGGAACTCCTACTCTCAGGGTGTGGTGCTCTCACTGCTGCGCTGAGTCCACCAGATAAAAATAAACTATGCCCTCCAGGAAGGGAGAGGCAGAGCGGATCCAACAGACACTGCTCCCCTGCAGGATCTGCACTGTCTACAGATGGAGCCTGTTTTCTCATCCAGCCTAGAGCTGCAGGACCACCGTGCAAGCTTTGTGACGATTAAGTGATCATGGTTCAGAGAAGTGAACAGAAGCAGCCAGGACAACATCCCACTAGTGACTCACAGGTCAAACTCCATTAAAAAAATCAGGGTGTCGATTTACATTCTCAGAGTGCAAATTTTTTGGTGTCTTGTCTTTTTGTGTTTTTTAATGGTGAGAGACTCTTGTTTCACAACCAAGAAAACTGTGCTGAAATCATGAACCGCATTTGTAGAAACACAGAAGGCCTGCCTGGAGATAATCAATAGAACCCTGATTGGATTCACTAGTCCACACAAGCTCCTCATCAGAATAATGCTCTACTGGGATTATCCTCAATCAGCTAGATCAGGCTCAGGGAAGCTACTGCTGTCAGATGGACCGCAGTTATCTTCCAAGAAATTATTATTTATACCTCCTCCACCTTTCTTTTCTTCTCTTGGGGTGAAGCAGCACTTTTGATTACCGTGGCTGGCTGAGCTTTTAAAATCTCTTCTGTGGATTTCTGAAAGGCAAAGCACAAATGATTAGACTTAATAGGGGAAAGAAGGGTCATTGTGATAACCAGAACTAAAAAGAAGTTGTTTTAAAGTTTTACATGGTTTCTAACAAGCTCCCCGCCCCCGCCCCCGCAATATCCCCCCTGGTTATTTTGAAAACAATACCTCTTCCTTAGTTTTCTTTCCACCAGGGGTAGGAGAAGTGCAGGTGAAGTCAGACGACAAAGCATCTATGGCATCACTGGGCCCCATGGGTTTCTAAAGAAACAGGCACCACGATGGGGAACACATGAGAGTCATTCAAGTTAAGGATCACAATATAAACTCAGCAAATGAAGAAGGACTTGACATTCCTTTACTACCAAATGAAGTACGTTATCAAATAACTCAGATGAAAGCCTATGTTTGCAAGGGAATGGCTGCTCACTCTTACTAGTTTCCCGTTTCCCTCTTTTAAATGGATTCCATGTTAGGATATTCTCATTCTATTTTTTTAACATTTATTTTACCCTACAACTTTCTTGGCTCCACTCTTATTCCCTTCAAAAAAAACTACGTAGGAAACCATGAGCACTGAAACAACCCCCATGTCCATCCCTTCCTCAGAACAGATGAAAACTTAATCTGATTTAGAGATGAGCCAAAGACACAATATAGAGAATCATGCCCTATCCCCCAACTCAAGATTTTTTTCTTAAGATTTTTTAATTGAGAGGGAGAGGCAGAGTGAACCCAAGTGAGGGGAGGGCTAGAGGGAGAGAGAGAATCTCAAGCAGACTCCCTGCTGAGCACAGAGCCTGATGTGGGGCTCGATCTCATGACCCTGAGATCATGACCTGAGCCGAAACCAAGAGTTGGACACTTAACTGACTGAGCCACCCAGGCGCCCCCCACAACTAAAGATTTAAAAAAAGGTTACCTTGGATCTTAGAAGACATTTATGTAAACTCACCGAAGAGTCTGAAGGAGGCTCTGTGATACCTTCTTGTTTCTGAAACAAACATTAACTTGATCATGTTGAGAGCCCAAAATTAATTTTTACAATTGGCAAAGTGTACTGCTCAGCGAGTGTTATGGGTTGAATTGTGTCTTCCCAAAAGTCATATCGTTGGAAGTCCTAAACCCCTAGTACTCCAGCATATGACTATATTTGGAGACTGGGCCTTTCAAGGGGTAATTTAGGTTAAATGAGGACATTAAGATGGGCACTGCTGTCCTTATAGAAATGGGGAAATGCGGACCCAGAGATGCAGAGGGAAGATGGTCATGTACAAACCAAGGAGGGAGGCCTCAGCTCCCCGTCCCCACACACCCACGCTGCCCACACCCATTCCAGTCTTCTAGCCTCCCGGACTATAGGACAATGTATTTCTGTGGTGCAAGCCACCCAGTCTGTGGACTGAGTCATGGCAGCCCTAGCAAACAGACACATTGGGAATAACAATTTCACATGTCCCATTATATTTTCTAAATTTAAAAAATGTGAATATATTGTTGGGATAAAGATGATGTTCCAGATTAACATAAGAATAAAAAAAAAATTAAAAAAAAAAAAAAAAAAGATGATGTTCCAAAAAGCAAACAGTAAAGTAAAAGTAAATGATTATTTAACTTACTGCCAAAAGTTCCCTGTATTTTGGAGGAAGCGTGACTTCTCTTTTACCTAATTCCTCTATGTAGGTAGATGTCATTGGATCCTTGAATAAAAACCACACACAGGGATATTATATAATTAATTAGTTGAGAACGTTATAAGCATATTCGGCAACCAAAGTACTGTTCCCATTAGCAGTTTATGGAGCTACTGAAATGAAATGTAAACCATTAAAAAGCCAACGCTTTACACAACAATGAAATTCTAAGTTTATACAACACTTTAATTAGCTTAATCCATATGTAATATTAGAAAATATTCAAACCACTATTTTAGAATCTTGTATTAAAATATATTTTATTTTAAAATGTTTTTCATTGTCTATTTCCAATACATACAAAAGTGCAGTTAATAAAAAAATTCTCTATAACCTAATACCCAAGTCTTTCAGATGTAATGTCTAAGAAAAAAAGGATCAGCTAATGTATCCTGTTTAACCCTCTACAATCTCATTCATCTTCCTTGTTGGCCAGAGACAGTCACCATCCAGAACTTTATTGTATCTATTGACTTAAAACTGAGCACATTTTAAAACAATTACTCCCTGTGTAGGTATCCACAAACAGAATACAGCATTACTTTGCATATTTTTCCTTTTATTGAAAAAATACAGAATGCTTTATAAATCTGCGTGTCACCCTTGCAGAGGGGCCATGCTAATCTTCTCTGTGTCGTTCCAGTTTTAGCATATGTGCTGCTATGGAGCAGCACTTTGCATACTTTCAAATGTTATATAAATGGCATCATATTCTAGATATCATTCTGCATTTCTATCCAAAATTATGTTTTTGTAATGTATCCATGTTGATACACGAATAATTCATTTTAGCCACTATGAAGTGTTCCATTACGTTATCTTGTCTGCTATTGATCAAAATCCTTTCCCAATGTTCCATCTGTTCTTGTAACTTCTGGTACACATGGACAAGGCTCCCTCCAGGGAACCTCTCGAGACGGAACTGCCAGCTGAAGGGTAAGCACACCTTCAATATCCACAAGCGCTACATGAGCTGTCAGACTTCTGCACTTGGGCCAATCTGATGAGTGTGCAATGTTCTCTATATCTTACTATCATTTCTCTACTTACTAGAGAATTTTATTGATTTATTAGCCAAACAAGTTTTCTCCTATTTTTCTACTGGGTTGTCTTTTTCATTTAAAAATTCTTCATAAATTCTAGAAACAAATCCTTTGTCATGTCTGTTGCAAGTATTTTTCCTCCAGTCTATGGCATGTCTTTTTAATCTTTTTAATATCAAGGGACATGCAATCTTTTTGCTTTTTAGGAGTTAGGAATGGGGATGAGCTGAGGGTGTAAATTTCTAGAAGTCGAAATAAGGTCAAGTCATAGGATGGGAAGTATCTGAAAATCAAAAGAAGTTCAAATCCAATAAACTTAAATCTCAAGGACAGAAGAATCTTTGTGACCTGATAAGGTGTATCCCAGCGCCAGTCACAACATGGACAATCAATCAATGTTTGCTGAACCAATGTAATAGTATAGTTGCCACAGGACAAACCATTTCCATTCCCAACACTAACTTTTAGTTGCTATTATTGATAGTGACACCATCCTGCTTCTCTTCAAGCCATAGAACATTAGGTATTTGGTGCCTCATGACCATAAACTTATTTGCTTTCCTACCTATTAAGTATGCATCTTTACAGATATCAAAATCACATACTGAAATTTCAGGTCCAGTATACACTGTGTTATCTTCTTCAGTTTCTTCAGATCCTCCTAGGGTGTCTACTAAGTCATCCAAAGCAGAGTCCATGTCTGACTAGAAAAGAAAGAGAGCAGGTATTTAAATGCTATTTGTCATACATATTTCACTTCTGATTTTTTTTAACTAAAAAAAAAAAAAAAACAGAAACAAGAAAAAAAAATTCTGTACAGACAAACACCAAACATCAAAAGTTCTTCAAACATCAAAATAGTTAAAATCTGGTCTCTAATAGACTTTCTTACATAAGGTCCCAGAGTACACATTCTAGGTTGGAAGGACAGAAAGCCATGTTCAAGTAAGAATCACAACTTCAGGGGTGCCTGGGTGGCTCAGTTGGTTGGGTGTCTGACTCTTGATTTTGGCTCAGGTTTTGATCTCAGGGTTATGGGATCAAGCCCTGCATAAGGCTCCACTCTGGGCGGGAAGCCTGCTTAAGATTCTCTCTCCCCCTCTCCCTCTGCCCCTCACCCCCTTAAAAAAAAAAATCACAACGTCAGTAAATCTAATGGCATTAACTACATGAACAAATGGATGGTTTGTTAAACCTGTCAGTCCAATGTAATGACAGTTTAAAAAAAAAAATGATCATGTTACTGTATGCAATAGGAGAAATAGCTTGGTATTTATCGCTTATCAGTAATTTTCCTACTTATCAGTTTTTTGAGTTACATATTGACAAAGAACTCCAACAAAATCTCTATATAGCACCTCTTCCAAATAGAGTATTTCAAAAATGGATTGCCTGTGTTCTTTCATTCATTTGTGGTTTTTTGTTCCCTTGCTTGCCCGAAGATGTTTACAAAGCAAATTACCTGACAGGAATGTTAAGCTTACAAGAAGTGACAATTTACTCTGTCGATATGGACTTTAATCAGTATAATGAATGAAAGAGTGCCTCCATCCTATCTCTGAGGTTAAAAATGATTCAGTGTGAAGAGTATGCTGCATTTAAAAGGGAAAACAAAAATTCTGGGAAAGACCCTTTATTTACTTTATTTAACTAAGATTAAAAATGATTAATTTTTTTCCCTTCAACTACCATATTCCCACTACAATTTTAGGAACTCACCTGATCATGTCATACAATTTGGGACCTCTTAGCTTTAGACCCATTCATTTGAGAATTTCAGAATGAGGAAGTGCCTTATATTCTTTAGTGACACCTCTGGTTAAAGAAGTTATATTTCCAAGAGAGAAACTGGAATGTAAACTCCACGGGATGTAACGAGTTTTCAGAACAGAAGGTTACAATATAAAATGTTACAAACATACCCAGAAAAAAAAAAAAAAAAATCACACTTTTAGCTTACGGCGATAATTCACTAAAAAGGTCTTTACGTTAATCCCACCTCATATGGTTTGCCCTTGAAAAAAATCAGATCAAGAATAACTATAGAGACCATGAATAAATAAATATCTGATGTAGAAATGCACTGCTATCATCATACCTTTCCAGATGGTTTACCCGGTTTGGATTCAACTGGTACAGCCGACGTTAATGATTTCTTTTCTTTTTTCTGGTGAGATTTTAGAAAGAAATAAAAACTCCTTCTCACATATCTTTATTCAATAATTTAACAAATTCAAATTGAGTGATTAAATAATCCAATAAAATTCAATGATATTACATATTTAAAAATGAGTTCATTAAAATATTAATAGCATTGATCATATACTGAACACCTGTTCTGAGCCAGGTAACATGTTGTATGCATTCTATCCTCTATCAGGACAGCGTAAATAACATTAATTTCATTTAGTGATAAGGATAGCAAGACTCAGAGAGGTTAAGTAATTTTTCCCAGGTCACACAGTAAAGGAAAGATCAAGGCTTGAATCTAGAACTGCATCTCTTTCTTTGTGGCTCTTGGTTGCCTCCCCCCAGGATCCACAGTCAGTCTGCAGCGCTCAGGACCTTTTTTTTCTCTAAGCGGCCACTTCTCCCTGTTGCTCTTTCAATCTCTGCCTGCACACAGTAAGACCTCCACACTCCTGGCTTTAGCATTTCATCATCCACTCCTTTCTTAATCTCCCTACAATGAATTTCCTTCCCAGCACTGTTTCAGTGGCTCTTTCAAAGACTGCCAACAACCCTCCGATCTGCAATCTCCATGCCTCCCCCAGACAGAATTGTCTCTGAAGTCTGACCTCAGTAAGCACCCCTCTCGTAATCATCCCAGTCCTCCCCTGGCATCTGTGCCGTCTGGTCTCTGCCATCTCTTCTGCTTTGCCGCCAGGCCTACCCACTGCGCATGTTTCTGCCCAGCACTGGGGGTCCTAAGTGGAATCATTTTCTGGGGCCAGGGCTGAGCGCTTGCGGGGACCGGCAGGAACTACACGGGTGAAGGGGTCAGGCTGAAAACAACAGGACACTATCGCACGTGGAGTTCTCTGAAACACAGGCAGCAGAGCATGGGGGTGGAGAGCACACCAGCTCCCAGGCGCTGGCCGCATGAGTCATCCAGCAGGTCACCTCTTCTGTAGCTCAGTATCGTCATGTGTGACAGGGACTGCACCTACCTCGGGGCCTTTTGAGGACTGGATAAACTCAGCTAGTGAAGTGTGGAAGCCAGTGTTTGGTACATGCTAAGCACCACCTGGGTACTTGTTGTCTGATTAAGTGCTAAATAAGTGATGACTGCAACTGTTAAAAACACCGTGGGGGCCAGCAGGGTGAGAGGCTGAGTCTGGGCAACTGAATCCACTTCCAGGATTCAACCACAACCTTACGCAGATATTCATTCATATTTGTTCTCCCCTCCTCCCTACCCACCCCCCCAGCCTTCTGCTCACTCTCTGCATTCTCCTGTAGTTCAAAACAACATTCATTCCAATTGCCTCTCTACACACCTCTCTCCAACATTCCAAATCAGCCTACCCAAACTCAGACCACTTTTCACGCTCAACCTTCTGACTCTGTCCACCAGTAGTGGTAACCAGGGACCAGCTCGAAATTTAGGGAGGCGCTCACTCTCAGCATCTGAATGGGCCCTGTGCTTGCAGGAACCTGACAGCAATCCCCCTGCCTCACCTTAGGGTTACCTACCCTAGTTCATCCAGACCCTGACGCCCCAGGTTATCTCAGAGTTGATGTGACCATTGCCCACTGCAGGCAATCATTTTCTAAAACTCAAAGATTTTCCCTCCGCAATGCCTCCTGCATTTCTCCCCACTATCTCATTCTATCCTAGCTCTAAGTTACACTAAATTAGGACTCATCAGGACTAGGGCACAGTCCTTGACCAGCCTTTTGATCTCTGTTCCCGTATCATCCACCCACTGCAGTCGCCCAGTCCTGCAGCTGGGTGCACTCACATCATTCATCTGCTCTCTAACCTTCAACGCTGAATAGCTACCACCCCTGTAAACTCCTCTCAGCATTCCCCACAGCTGTGCCTGGACCCGTCTTTCTGGTCTTACATTCCCACCGCTCACCCTCCCAGTGCCCCACCCATGGTCGAATGTGCTTTGTACCCAGAACACATCTCACACTTTTCCACTCTGATGCATTTGCAAGCCTGCAATCCTAGCTATCCTTCACGCCCAACTCAAATTGGATCTACTCAGAGTGCCATGGATTCCTGCAAACTGACAGAATCCCTTGGTTCCTCAACTCAACAGCTCCTTATAGGGGCCTGTCTTAATCTGCCTTGGAATGCAGTCCCTGGAGACTCCATCTTCTTCCCACTCCTGGACGGGCTAGCCTGCAGCTAGGGAGTCCTGCGGTCACACCACAGTGCTTTAAATGTGGTACGTACCCCACCCCCCACTCCCCAAAAGGAAGATCTGATCAATCCCATTTTATGGGAGACGAATCAGAGGCAAACAAAAGTGAAATGCTTTGCCCCAAGTTCGAGCGCAGGTCAATGCACTCCAGACTTCCACATAAGCCTCTTATTTTACTGTTTAGCTTTCACTTTTTCCCTGGCTACTTTATACCTAGCACAAAATTTCAGAATGATTACATTTTTAAGTCTTTTCAAACAAATCTAATCCTGTCTTAAATCTATCCATTTTTCAAGCCATTTCATCTAAGTACCCCTCATCAACACCACACAGTAACATGTATCCCCAGAGTGGGGACAGGGGTGCGAGTCTCAAGGTCATATTCAAGTGGTCTGCTGGAAGAAAACACATTTTTTTAAAATTTGAGTATTTTCATTTAAACGTTAAGTTTTGCTATCACTCCAAACAATATCTGCATTAGTTTGGACACAAACTAATGTGCCTCTTCCTTTTCAAGATCTGAGAAGAACTGATCTTTCCAGGAGAGGTGCCGTACTTTTATACTATGACTTTCCTCACAATCTAGCCTGCAGGGGAATAACTTTCCCATTTTGAAAAGCAGGAAAACAGATAAATACATGTGACTTTTAAAAAAAAAAGTTTCATTTCCATCTTCTTCTTTTCTTATTCCAGAGAGATAGGTAGCATTTCTAGGGAGACATGGCCTCTAAACCGATAACTGACTCTGCATTGCTATGGGTAGAAACAGTAGACTACTTCCCATCTTACATTTCCAGGCTAGTATCTGAAAGAGCTCCTCAAGTGATCTAAGGAAGACTCGCCCATCATTAGTCAGAGGGACACACATCCTGTCTCTCCTGGGAGGGCTGGAACATCTCCTTCAAAAACTTCCCCCATCAACTCATGCAGAGGTCCGGACTGTTGGGGACTTACTCATATCAAGATAGATGCTGTCCATGGTGAAAGCTGAGAGAAGTGCTTGTTCAAATATAGCAATTTTATTTGCTTTATTTCAAACCTATAAATCTTGAAAGCAGGATCTGAGTCAACTCACATTTTAATTTTCTTGGTACTGACACCACGCCTTATACATGGCAGGTGTTCAATAAGTATTTACTGAATATATGAATTCTTAAATCAGTTTTGCTATCCTGCTCGTTCTATATCCTTTAGATACGTGCTCTTCTTCATTAAATTTCACCTAAGAACAGTGTTCGGTTTTCCCAAACACCGGTTATTTGAGTGTGGCAGCACCACAACCCCGAATGGTCCCTGAGAAGCAGACATAAAGCCCAGGGGTCTGGAAGGGGTCTTCAGCAAGCACGCATTTCTCACGGAACCGACCCCAGAGGCGGCAAGGCCCGCGTACACTCTATGCCCGCCTGTGTGCGCTCACCTGTTTAGCAGGGGTGGCAGATGCTGCAGACACCCCAGCAACGACACCCTCCCCGCCGGCAGAAACTGCATCCTGTGATTTAGTCTAAAGGCGGGGGAAAAAGATGAACAGAACTACGTATCTTTGAGTGACTATTTTCAAGATCATGCATTGCAAGTATCACTACCGAGCCAGTTCACCACCACGGACATCTTGCAGAGGAAGGGGTACCAGCTCCTACTGCACATGATTCAACCCTGGGCAGTGCCTGAGGCTGGACTCCAGAGCTGACAGGGTCCGTGGAGCTGCACAGAGAGTCCAGCGGGCCAGCTAGGGGCCACGATGAACTGGACTACATACACCAGGTATAAAGCTCGAGTCAATTGTTGCCGTATAACCTGCTTTTTCCGGAGGAGCTAGAGATTTGGATTTTGTATGAAACACTAGGACTTTAATTGTTGGCAGCTCACTAAAAATAATTTCAATACTATTGTAAGCCAAACAAAATAGACTTGAAACACATAAATGGCTGCATGCAACTGGTGGGCCAGAAACATGTAACCTCTTCTTTCAAGTCCATTGTTAAGCAGGCCTACTTGACGTCTTCCAAGAGCTCTTGATGGAAGAGTTCTTCTCATAAATGTTTATTCTTCTAATAGGTGACCTCCATTAGCTGTGCAAATATGGAATCTATTTCTGGCTCTATAAATTCATCTCTCCTACAACAAAATTCTCAACACCTCTTTCAGACTGCCATGTAAAGAGCAGATCATACAGATCATGTGTGGTCCTACAGCCCTGAGGAGAGGGGTCCAGGAGGCAAGCTCTATCCCAAGCTTCCTGCCTATGAGACACCAGAGACGGCTGCCTTGCAGTCATGACTGGGCATTGCTGGGCAGCAGAGGCTGGACCAAAAGTCCCCACAACCCACCTGATGTACTTCTTGAACTTTTCACAGGGCCAAGTTTCCAAAAAGCTATTTGCAAAACCAGCAAAATGATAGCCCCAAACCATTACAATACAGAGTACATTCAGCATAGTCCCACAGATTCAACAACACATGTCCACGTAGATGGAGGACCTGCATCTTATTCCCTATTTGATGGTAGTGTTTTCTTATCAATCTGACTTATTTACCTTTGGTTTTGTTGATTTCTCTGACGTCAGCTGCTCACTTGATCTGGACACCGCTTTTTCCTTATGAACATGCTTGCTTTCTGTATCTGATGCATGCTTGGGTAGGCTCTTTGGCTGAAACACACACACACACCACACTGTTTACAAGATGACAAACACCAATGCTTTTCTCTGTGTGATGCCAAGTGTTCCTAACAGTTATGTTCTATGTAGTTTTGAATTGTACTAATCTCAATTCATGTGACATCAATGTGATTACTTTGAGGTACAAAATTTGAAATACACATCCCTCCTTCCCATTAGTAAACTGCAAATCCTACTATTGCCACATGGTGGTGCCATTATAGCCAGAAAAACAAACACAAATGACAGTTCAAAATTCTATCCCTCACACACACACACACAAGGCTTCACCCATCATCAAGTCCTAAGGATGACCGCTTACCTCTTTGTGTTCCTTTGGCTTTACTTCTCGGGTTTTTTTCTCATGAACCACAGATGGCTGTCAATTTCAAAAGATAAAATCTCAATTACATCGGAGACCTTTCTTTTATTTTTTTCCAAATAGGCTCAAGAACAAAAATCCCAATTAGACCCTTCTGCCCCTCTTGGGAAAGGCCCACTTAGAGAAATACACATGTGCTACCCGTCAAGAGTTACCCTCCCAACAGACTGATAATGACAACAATAAGAGTAATGAAAAATTTAGTATTTCATTTAGAAAGATTTTTCAACTAGGTATGTATCTCTAACTCACTGGCTGTGTTTTACAATTCATACAGATCATTTGGTAACTGCAGTTCTAATCACAGAGAGGTCACATGAGCACTGTGACCTCTGAATTTGTTGATAGGGAATCCCACTCTAGAAGTTCTTTTAAAAATCTCCCTTCATAGGAGATGAACACTGTAATTTAATGATTTACATAGTCTTTTCGGTATTACAACTAGAGAAGGAGGTAACACCAGAAACCCAATTCTCTTGAGTTTGGGCAGTCAAAACATTTCAATATGGAGTAGTGGACAAGTTCCAGCTTGCTGGTGAATTCCTGCTCTACAGTGGGGCTATGGAATTATCATCCTGAGGGGATGGGAACCCAGAGGTCCTACATAAAATCAGATAAGCCTTACCTTCTACCCAGATGATCTCACCTTTGCCTCCATTTCAAGTACATCTCTGTGCTTTCCCGCATCAAACCTTGCGCTCTTATCTGAGTGCTTAAGCATGCTCGCTTAAAAGAAGTAATGTGTAGCATCTTATGAAGGAGAAACATTTGCCCTAACTGCAGACACCCTGGGGTCCATCTCCACATGGATACAGACTGGCTGTCAATCTAGATGGCAATGAGTCAGGAAGCCATTCCCAAGGGAAAGTCAGAGCTGTCTCCTGAGAACCTGATAACCAGTTCCACAAGCTGAGATACGACTGTTAATAAGATAAACCTGTGGGCCTATTGGGAAAGACTCATCTGTAAGTCATCTAGGTGCTGAGTTCAGAAGACACATGTACTCTGGATGTCCCATCTTTTTAAAAGTAATTGGACGCTCATTGCCCTTTGTCCTTTCTCCTTTGTTCCTGCTGTTTGTTAACAGTTACTTCACCTCTAACAAAAATCTAGATTTGAACAAAATGCCTTCTGAAACATACTGTTCTCAGGTATAAGATACATTCATTTTTACAATATATGTACTTATTATAACTTATCACTTATGCTCTGTATAATGTTTAAAAAGGTAATCCAAAATTAATTAAATTAGCTGACAAAAATTCCTTTTCCCATTCAGTAGCACCAACAGAGGGAATTGGCTATTCATTGTTATTACTAAGAATCCAAGTAACTCACTAGTTGACTTAAATCACTTACCTTAGTTGACTGTGACTTCTTCTCAGGTTCTGTTTTTGCAGCCTAAACTCAGAAAAATACAGGAAGGAGAGAGGGAAGGAATTAAGGAAGAAAGGAAAAATAGACATAGTTTACAAGGTTTAACATAGATTTTCTTCAACTAAGAAAGCTCAGGGGAGAGGACTTTGATGTAAATATAAACTTTATGAGTTAAGTTTACTATACTTTGCTTGGCATTTTAACTCTTTAGTAAACATTTAAGCACTCGGATATTCTACTCTTACCTTCAGACAGCAGTTTACATCTTACTTTTGTTATGTGTATCAAAGATACTTAAACATTTATTACTATGAACATTGTAGCTAATATATAAGCAAAATGATATACAAATCCTCATCCTTCAAAGGCAATGACATATCTCTGAGTGAAATACCATGGGTTTCTGGCTGCCAGTGTGAAACAATGGGATGGTGACAGAGCCAAGAGCTGTAGAAAGCAGTGACATTTAGTTTTAGTGCCAGAGTATCAGCGATGGGTCACTAAGGCCTACCAGAAAGTCTGTGATGGGTGAGAGAGTTACGGAAGATCTGGAACTGCCATTATTAGTGTGTGCTGAGCAGCTGAAGTGGCCGTTAGCAAACAGAAACATCCCCTAGTACGATGAACCACATCACCTGTTTTTTGTGTCTTTTCTTGTTAGGAGAATGCTGTCGTTCCGTCTGTTTGCTGATTGGAACAGCCTAATACAAGAGCAAAGCCCCAAGTGTGATTTTATTTTATCTGACAATCAAATAGGTAACCTGTATCATAGGGCTAAACGTTTCTATCAAATACCCTTCCGCTCAGCTACTGCATCTATTCCATGCATATGTACATAACTCCAAGAAGCTGCAGACACTAAAATTCTAAAGCTTCCAGCAAATATTCCAGTTTGGATTTACTTTTTTTCAGTGGTAAGAATCTGCAAGATTGCCATTAGGAAAACTAACTTCTGACCCCTCTCCTTCACCTTCGCTGTGTACAGGCTGCTTGGGCCATTTTTTTTCCACCTTTATTTCTAACATTTGGTTACAAACAAATCAACAGTCACAAGTGGTGTCAAAAGTTTTCTGAAATTTTACAATTTTGTAAATAGTGCACATATTTTTATTGCACAATATAATCTAAATTTCTAGGAATGCTTCAGAAGAGCTGGTTGTGTCCCGTGGTCCATAGTCTCTCATGGTTCGTCTCCCTCTCTGATTTTTTCCCCCTTCAGATTTCCCTCCCTTCCCCTATGGTCCTCGGTGCTATTGCTTACGATGAGTACTGGGTGTTATACGTAACTAATGAAGCACTGAACACTACATCAAAAACTAATGATGCATTACACAATGGCTAACTGATCATAATAAAAAAATGGAAAAAGAAAAGAAGAAGAGCTGGTTGTGGGGCACCACTGACTCTTGATTTCAGCTCAGGTCATGATCTCAGGGTCCTGGGATCCACCCCCGCGTCAGGCTCTGCACTGAGCATGGAGCCTGCTTGAGACTTTTTCTCCCTCTCCCACTGCCCCACCCCTAGCTTGTACTTGCTCTCTATCAAAAAAAAAAAAAAAGAAAGAGAGAGAGAGAGCTGGTTGTGACTTAAGCCCTCTACTGGAGTATTTTACACAGTTTTACCCAACCAAAGATCATCTGTATCAAAAATACAATTCCTTAAGTACATACATGAATTCTCGGTACAGGCAAGATATGAAAACTGGATTAAACATTTCTGAACTTTTCAAAGTAAAAGATTAAAAATTAGGCCTAATACTTCCCACCATTTCTTTCCCTTTTATCTATTTGCTGGTATTAACATAAACTCTTATTTTTTATTCTATTATCTAAAAAGCCAACAGCAAATATCCTCTTAATTTATCATGTCATGTGCTTCAGCCATGAAGATACATACGTTCCTCCCATAATGGACCCTCGTTATACCAACATGTGCATTGTTTTGGGAAGGAAACAAAGTTCATAATCACAGAGATCTTTCCAAAGAAATGTGAAGTTTTGGATCCTTCCAAACTGGATCTTTGTTAATTAGTTTCCGTATCTGCTACTATGCTTTTCTGAGTTTATGCAAATGCAATTTATTAAATGATTAAGAAGGAAAATAAGCCAGTGGATACTGTAGTGGTTTGGATCTATTAATAGCTTCCACTCTGTAATTTGGTAATCAAGATTTTGCATGGAAGAACTCTAGAAAACAATTAAGAATTCACGCTCACACATGCAAGCAGCTTATAATGGCATATTTTTTATTAGTACTCGATAATACATTACCTAAATTTATTTTTACTGAAGGTAGTGGGGCTTAACATAATAGCGATGACAATAATAACCAATGCTTATTGATTACCTCTTAGTAACAGGGACTGTTCTAAACTTCACATGTGCCAACCCACTTGGTTCTCACGAGAATTCTGAGACAGGTAGCATCATCATCATCATCATCATCATCCCCACTTTGTGGATGAGAAAATGAGGCACACAGAAGTCAAATTCCCCAAGGACACCCAGGGTGGAGCTGGGGTTTTTGCTCAATCACTGCGCTGCATTGCATTGTCTCTCCAGCACTAGTCAGCTCCTACTGGGCACCTGCTGGGGGACAGGCCCTATCTAATACCCTTACGTGTTTGTTTTCTTACACAGCCTTGTGAAATAGGTACTATTATCCAAACTGTACAAATAAGGAAACCAAAGCAAAGAGGAGTTTCCAAACACCATGGCTGGTAGGAAAGGAGATTCACAGCAGGCCATCTGGCTGCATGGTTCCCGCTATGTAGTCTTGCAGCAGTCACACCCTGAATAGAAATGATCTGACCTTCCATCTGAAGCACAGCAGTGTGACCACCAATTCTAATGTGCCAGGGCAAGAGAGACAGAACTTAGATCTAGACATACCACCCCCCTTCAGAGGTAGGTAGACTTTTATCTGAAAGATGTAGAACAAGACAAGGATTTGGTATAGGTGTGATCTTGAATTAATATCTTTTTTCTAAAAGCTCAAACTATTTGAAGAAATATGCTCAAGTTCACAAAAATCTTCAAGAGAAGGCTAGTATAATTGTTATGACCCATACATCAGAAGCACATGAATCTAATTAATGAGAACAGTGTGACTGAAATCCACCCAGAAAAGACAGCTGACGCCAAAAGTGGTCCAGAGGCAGCCACTGGTGATATTTCATCATCAAGACACTCAGTTTTGTCCCTCCCTCTTTTCTCCCACTTTCTTCTCTCTCTTCTCCCATCCTCCAGTTCTGTAGGACTGCCAGGAATTCTCATGACTAATGCTTAGCAATAGCTGAAGGGTTTGCTGACACTTGCTCTGGAAAACAGGACACCTTTGAAATAATAAGCATTGGTCCTTGAGCAGAGTCAGGGGCAAAGGATTAGAGTCAGGCAATGGGTCAAATGAGAACCAGAATAATAAAGAGGAAATCCTAGGTGTTGGCTCTCCTTTCTGTACTTTTCATGGACTCTGAATTCAATGATAATTTGTTTTTGGCTGATGCTTCTCCTATTGTCTTATGGTTATTTTAAGACTGAGATCAGATTTTTTTTTTTACTATTTTAAGATTAAACTTGGTCTAAGTAAGTAGGGACAACTAACAGATGAATTAAGGATCAGGTCATGTATAGTCTGAAAACAAAAAATTCATGTAGAATACGAAATAACAATTTTAGATTAAAAACTTTTAAATCAAAATGAATGCTAAATGACATTTATAAGAGATGTGAACAGTGTATTTCAAGATATCTGCAATGTCCTTTAAAAACAATTCAACATTAGACCATAGGATCTCTCAACAGCACGAAATTACAGTGCCAGTAGTAAATTACGGCATAGGATCCTACCGGGATAGCAAAGCAATACGGAAGACAGGAAACAAATCATGTCAGTGATTTTAAACAAGGGCAACTTAATAACAGAGCTGGGTTAGCTCTTAAAAACACCCAGTAATACTGGCTCATAAAAATTAGTTGAGAGCATCTTGATAATATCCCTGCTTTAATTCTCCACCCAGAGGAGTCCCGAGAAACAGCCTGAGACATGGTAAGGAAGGGGGAGGGTTGAGGCAGCTTCTGGCCACTCTTCAGAACTAGGGTTTACTCCATGTGGCCACAACACTGGACAATATTCTTTTATTTTTTCTTCTCAGATTCCAAGAAATAATTATTAGAATAAATCCCAAATAGAGCTCAAAGGTTTATCAATAAGACGTTCCCCTGTAGGACTAAAATTTCACAAAGAAACTTAAAATATCCAAAATAACAGTATCTGTGTGTCGTCACTTAGTGTAAACTTAGTGTAAATTTTCGCTTTCTTACATTTAAAGTGGCCAGAATAATAGAACCATTTTAATAAGAAGTTAAGAATTCATATTCTTCACTAGATCCACAGAAATGCACCTAGATCATCTTATAATTAAAAAACTCCATCAAGTCTAGGACCAAAAAAAATCTCCGGATGACTACTCTTTTCTAGATACTCTGAAACAATGTAGAAGTGTACACCGGATATTTGAGGCAAATATTAAAAACAAAGGTAAATTTCCAAAGACCCTTCTAAATTAGGAAGAAAATGTTTCCTTCCATAATTTAAGCTTCTTAGGACACATAAATAATTTGTCCATTAGTCTACATTTGTTTTGCTTTACAAAATAAGCACTTAGAGGCATTCACCCAAGTACACCCATGAAGACCCTTCATACCTTCGCTTCCGTGGGATTCATACTGGCAGACTTGCTGGTGGAAGCAGAAGAAGCTGATGCCTAGAAAGTAAAGAAAGAGGAAGTCTGATTCTGGTTAACCTACAAATACTTTGTCTTTCGGCTCCTCTTAACCATACTTGTTCTTAACTCTACCTTGGTTTACCTCTTCTAGAGGACAACTCCCACAAAAGTCCAGTAGGTGATATTGCCCCGTGGGCAAAAGCCTTTATAACCAGACCAAATGGGTTCAAATTTTGAGTGTACTACTTATTAAATAATCTTGGGCCATTTTCTGATCTTTCGTTTCCCCTTTCTCAATTTTTCTTTAGTAGATAACCATCTCGTAAGTTTCTTACTACCTGGTACATAAGCGCTCAGTAAGTATTTTAATTATTGTCAGTAGTACTTTCCAAAGAACACAGTATTACTATCCAAATTGACAGAATTTTGTTCAAATGCAAGCCCTGCCAATTACTAGCTCTGTGACTTTCAGCCTTAGTTTCCCAGCTATATAAAATGAGGCCAACAACATTTCTTTCTCAGGATTTTAAGTATTATAGATAATAAAATGTCTGGCATACTGTAGGTGCTTATTAAGTTACTAATGCGTTATCCCTAAGACATCATACAAGACAGGAGCAGCGGGATGTAGTGCTGGAAAACACTCAGGAGGGTCACAATTGTCCTTTCAGTGTCACAGAAGGAAGAGAAGGTGGGAGTGGGATTGCAAAGGGGATACTGCTATATTATTTATCTCATCCAGGCTCCTCCTGGAGGGCAAGACGTGATGAATAGTAATTGAAGTTTCAAGATGCACCATTCCTAGGGATGCAAGGGGGCGGAGGAATTAGTCCCTGCAATCTAATCACCCACAAGCAGTGGGATGTGCATAGGGATACTTGCATGGTACTAACTACTGTCCTAGTACATAACTTCATTACCCTGGTTAATAATAAATCAATCACTACCTTTGGGAATTCCAACCTAGGCTCATTTAAACCTCCTTAATATTTGAGTCTGTTAGGTTTTAGACCTTAGGGATTCTAGACGGCATAGGTGTCTTAAGTAACCGTCTGTCAGTAAACAGCTGCTGCCCTGCCAATAATACCCAGAGCCTGTCTCTGATGTCTGGCCCTGAGCCATTTCAGAGGCCAAGTCTCAGGACAGGATGAGCCCGTCCCAGCTGGTCCTCTAGCTCCCCCACCCCCACACACTACCACTCAAGGTGACTGTATGAACATTCTATAATTCATGGCCCAGGAACAAAATCACCTTCCCCACAGACCTACTTAATGCAGAACATGTTGGTGCTATTAGTAAATTACAATTTACAGATAAAAAGCTCAAAGTTTTAGCATATTGATTTTAAATATTTAAAATAAAGATTTTATTTATTTATTTGAAAGAGAGAGAGACA